TGAGTTGAGAAAATCACAACAAATTTCTAACGGTTTTTTCGTTGTTTAAAGGTTTGATTAATTTGACGTAGAAACTGTCGCAATTGTTTCCAAGGATACCTGAGATATCATGCATTGCTTAGTTCGAATATTTTGATTGCTTAAAAAATGTTATTGTGGACGAATTTATTCATTAAAAGTTCAGTCAGTTTGAAAACCTTTGTCGCTTTTAAAACCATTAGTCACTTTGCCACTGTAGGATTCTTTCGTGGGACTTATAGATAATGTTGCATGATTTTATAAAATGCTGCTAAGAATTTCCAGTTGGTTGTTGAAGCCATTGTAGAAAGAAGGGTAGCTTTTTGAATGAATATAACCGATTTAAGAACTAAAATGGATTTTTCAACAACGATTTTTAATGTGTTTTTTAAATATTGAAATTCAATAGATTTTATATTGCGACAAATATGTTGCGACACCCAAATCATATTTAAAATTCTAGAGAGTTTTAGATTCAAGCTTCTAATTTGTAGATAGATTATTCCTTGTAAATTAAATCGAAAACTTGCCAAATTCTGCAAATTATGAAATTTTAGCACTGTCTTGTTAACACTTAAAGAGTTGCAGCTAGAAACAAAACAAATACAGTAACAAAAGACAATTACGAATTAATGTGCAAGCAGTTGTAGCAAAATTGAGCAGAAATGGTCTTTCAAGCTAGCCTAGCTAAAAAGTTGTTATTGAAAAAGATATATGCAGAAAATCGACCAGAGCTTGCAAAACAGCTGGTAAAGATGATAATCCTTAATTTTTTCTAGGCCTGGATATAAAGAAATGGTTTCAAAGAAGATTTATGTCGAATCTTCACTTCTTGTATTCCCAGGAACTTTCTTCCTAGTCGTTTCCCTTCTTCTCTTTCTATTTAGTTTTTGAGAGTCTGCCAGTAAACAAGTAGACCTTATGAGGAAGGTTGATGATATAGGGGGGTGGGGACAAAGTGAATGAAAGGGGCAAAAAAATATTTTGAAACTTGAATGAATAAAATGATATACAGCTTTCATGGTAATTTAGGCATAGACAAAACAATGAGCTACATTGCACATAATGAGAAATACTGTATGTATATATTCGCTGACAGCAGACATAGCAAGGTACTCCATTTAGTGACCAGACATCTTTTATCATACTTAATTTTATAACTTCTCGTCTCATGGGTTTTGAAGTTTTTTGAGGGTGTAAATCTTTCTTCCCTGTATGATACATATTCCTATTACAATAAGTTGTACTTATTTTTTTAATAATTTGCTTTATAAGTGGAGGTGGCCCCGGTTAAGCTGCAGGCACACATCCTTCACACATACTTGTAACAGGAGCATTATACTCAACAAATGTTCATGTAACATACCAATGAAAGCAATCATCCACACAAAATTAATAAAAACTTTTAAAAGTTAGTAAACCAAAATATGATGTAAAGGACTGAAAAGAATTTTCGACGTCTAATCTCTATCTAATTCAAATCGAATTCCAGTTCCTATCATTTCGAAAGCGAGGATGCTTTTTCAAGCTTGGCAAAGATGATCCGATTTCCGCTTGGAAATTCGGGCGCCCTGCAATTCGTGTCTGAAATGCTTGTTTGCTGTTTGGTTAATACAAGTAGTTTAGAACAAAGTACGATGTGACTTTGGGTATTGTGTGGCATCATAAAAATGCGTTAATTGCTGATCATGCTCACGACGAAACCTTTGAGGAATAAGTGAATTTTGTTCAGTAGCAACTTGGGTGGACGCACTGGAAAATCATAACGATGCATCACCGACCTGTCGCCGACGCATAAAAGTCAAATGGAAATCAGGCTTTAATCCCTTTTGTCTACGAACACCAAAGATTAAGTTTGGCAGTAGTTTTTCCTGAAATCTTGTTCAGTGCGCCCACGGTCAATAGATCCAAGGAATAGACAGACATGTCAAAATTCAAGGAAACTTCCTGACATATTCCTGCCATGACAAAAATCAAATACAATTTTGACATAGCAGTTAAATTTGGGCTGAGTCCCTGTCAAGACAACATTTTTCCTTCAGAAAATCATTGCTAACAATGAGCCATTGCGCTACGCAAGTATCCCATAATGCATTTTCAGACAGTATGAAATCAATTCTGGTTAATCTGTAAAAGTTTACTGCCATTGTTTGAGTCGTCGCCAGGACAATTTGTCACGCTCGCAAGGAGTCTTTAAAGTGAGAAGAGTTGCCAGCTTTCTGTAACATCAGGGCATTGTGATTGATAATGGTTTGGAGGTTTAGAGGATAGAATAAAATAGCATGTATCGATCTATATTTTGACGAGTTAGTTAACTTAAAGTTAAGACTTGAGTTAAGCAATAATCATAAAGGATGTAAAATTCACCATTATATGACAACCATGTAGCTGTCTATTTCGGCTGGGTTGGGCAAACTCGAGCAAGAACCATACCTGAGGGGACAGGCTTTAAAACAAGAAAACAGATATGCAACAAACAGATATATTTGGACTAAATCAAGCTTTCAAAAGTGACAAAGCAGCTATGAGCCAAAAACAGAACAATTAATCAATTACAAAATTTTAAAAAACAAACTGCGAGGGTTCGGTAGCCATCAGTTGAAAATTCATCGGAAGATGTTTTTCTTAACGAAAGATATGAAAAAACAAGATAGGATTTTTTCGAAAAAATGTGATTCAAGGCACTCTGACGAAAAGGTGTGCTACGTTTGGTATCAATGTACTTCATAGATAAGAAAAAGCATTCAACGCTTGCCGAAGCATAACCGCATACTAATGCGATACGGTATTCGGTATATCATCGTCAAAACTGGAGCGGCAACTTCATAATTCTTCAGCAAAACCTTGTCTCCAATGTCGCTAGTCTTTTAGCTCTTGCGGTGGCTCTACATGTCACCTCTCTCTATTCCGTGACGCTACAGCTACACACGTCACACTTGAATATTTCAATACATGGAATATTTTAAAAGTAAACAGGTTTAAGGTTTCTTACTTTTCAGAAATTAAATGTCCCCTCTTGCCAAATAAATAATCTCACGGATTTATCATTATGCCAACTTTTCAAAATATCGTTCAACAAACACAATAGCCAGAGGGGGCAAGTTGTTGTTCACAGCCCCCCGTGCCCCCTACAGCTACGTGGCTGTTATATGAGCCTTCAATATTCTCTTTCATTGAGCCTATACTTAAATTGATGTGCCTCTTTTATATCCACATTGGCATACTCCCTCTCATAAGCTTATTTTTAAAAACTGATGATCTCATGTTGATTACGTCATTTGAGGATGGTTACACTAATTCCGTGAGCATATTCATCGCAGAAGTGTGTTTTATTCTATGAATTGAGCTTTTATTTTACCCATTTAGAGAGAAATTATGTTCAAAAAGAAAATCTTTGCAGACTTTAGGGGATTTCATATCAATGGAGCTGGATTTTCCTTGGCTTAAGTTATCTTTCCTTAAGTTACCTATTGACCGCCTTGGAAGAACCTTAGTTTTTATCAACAAGTAAAGATATGGGAAGGAATGATCGCGCACCTTGATCATGGACAAAAACTTAAAATTGTAGTTTCAAACTACAAATACAAATGAAATTACCAAAACTCCTAATCAGAAGGCAAATGAATGCATGTTTTCATAAACCAGGCACCGCGGAGCGTTGAGAAAAGTGGGGGGGGGTCTAAAAAGGGGGGGGGGGCTAAAGCCTCCCCTGCCCCCCTGCTCCGTGGTGCCTGTAAACCTCTTCCACTTGACTGACTTTTCCCTAGCCCTATCCAGTTGTCGCAGGTGCGAGTTGTCCCGCCTGGTGTCAAAAATCTTTCACATACCGCTTTTTATGTGAGCATCGCAATTGAAGCTATGATTGGTCCCCTGAGGAGCATTTGGTAAATTGGGCGGTATGTGCATGTTAGTGATATGGCTTTGTACCTGGATATATCAACGTGAACGTATAGCTCAGCGCTTTTTTATAAGAACACCTCATTTTTGCCGACCCTCGCCTCAGTACTCGCGAAAATTTCGACTTTGAGCCTCAGGTAATTCTTGAATTATTCTTTCCAACACATCATTTTTAACGTGTTGCTTCATCATAAACTTAGACAATAACAGAACAAATCAATAATGTAAATGTGGTGTAAAAATGCAGAGTCTAGTCACTGAGTATCACTACAGAGCATTCACTCAATTTTTTGTCATGATGAAAAAGAATTGAATTTCCTCTATGTAAGTGGAAATCAGTGATCAGTGAAAATCATCTGATCACTGACAACGCTTACCATTAATTTGAATATGATGTTAAAAGTTTCTTCAAATACGTATTAGAAAAACATTGTGATATTTGCCATGGCAAGTTTGACTATTTTATAAATTTGAAATATTGAAACTAAAACCCTTCCTATTTTCAAATGTGGTGTAAAAATGCAGAGTCTAGTCACTGAGTATCACTACAGAGCATTCACTCAATTTTTTGTCATGATGAAAAAGAATTGAATTTCCTCTTTGTAAGTGGAAATCAGTGATCAGTGAAAATCATCTGATCACTGACAACGCTTACCATTAATTTGAATATGATGTTAAAAGTTTCTTCAAATACGTATTAGAAAAACATTGTGATATTTGCCATGGCAAGTTTGACTATTTTATAAATTTGAAATATTGAAACTAAAACCCTTCCTATTTTCTTTGCCTACCCGTTGAATTCAACTGAACTTGAAGAAATTTTGCAACAGTTGGAAAGCATATATGAGATTTAAACTGCAAATATATAAAGAATAAATAGCCACGCAATTTCACTAGTTTTTCTTTCTTTCTCAAAATAACCATTGTGTGCATTTACTTCAGCCAAAACTCGTCGTTATTCAAAGAGCATGGTTTTAAAATACACTCTTTTTTACAAGTATCAGTAAATAGAAGTTTAGGCTACGTATCGTACTTTCAGCGTCTAAAAAAGGCGTAGGTGACTGGCTAGCAATCAAGCCGAGACAAATAGCATTTCGAAATTCTAAACGAGGCTGGGTTTTGCGAACTCACTCAAGACTGTTCTCCGTTTTCTCATATGTCCCGCGCAAATTTAGAGTAACTTATGCAAGTCCCTGGTGGATCGTAAGAGGTAAGTTGTTCGTGGCAATAGTGGCCCACTTGTGTGATGTATTTTATTTAGCGATATCACGAAGAAGTATTCTCATGCACCGATTAACCTTTGGCAAACATTTGCAATCTCCATTCTTTACTGTATCTAAAGTTTCAGTCCTCTAAAATACAATGAGTCGTTATACTGATAATGGTTGCTAATTTCGTTTACATAGTGATAAGAGTGTTAGCAAAAGCCTTTGTTCTTGACGTTCGTACGGCATTCGCTAATGCTTTCTACATTTGGATACAACAGAGAAGACACAAGCCCGCCATTTGTAAGTTTACCCGAAGATACCACAGTGGGCAGTGCTGTAGAATCCGTAACACGAAAGGCAAATCTCGAATTCGCTGCAACAAACGGTGAGATGGGGCGAAGGACAATAAGACGATTTTTGCTCGTAGCTGTGCTGATGATTCTAGCGGAAGCCGCTTGCGCAAGGTACGAGTTTCCAATTTCTTCCAATTCCAGTTTCCAATAAACTTAGCGTTGAAAATTTGATAAACTCTTTTTTTCATTAGAACAATTTTATAAGAACACGAGCCTCAAAATTGGTCAAAAGTTAAGAACAAATTAAGAGCAAGCTGAGGCTGAGCTTCTGCAAAATGCATTTTTGAACAACTTTTTTTCTCGAAATCGAGGATTTTTAGCGACGTGTGGGTGCTTTTTCGGTGAATATTCAAATTTGTCAACAAATTAAGGCTGTCTCACTCACTTTTTTGGCAAATGAGGCCTGAATATCACCATAGAGCGAAAAAGCTAGCACTCGCACTGCTTACACCCTATTAGATTAAGAACAAATTAAGAACAATCCAGCCTCAGATTTTCGAAAACATTAAGAACAGTCAGCCTGAACTGAAATTTTCTGGTTCTTATAAAAACAAGAGTGTAAGTAAAGAATCAGATTGAAAGCAGAGCTCTAAAAATCAATGGCAAGCCCTACTTAGGGACATCTTTATCTTGCTGTTAAGATAAATGTTCAAGAGTAAATGCCACTATTACCTACGATTACTTTCCTCTCCAATTCTGCAGCATCAGAATTTTTGTTATTCGCATCAGCAGTTTCCCCTTTCCCTCTCCTCTTTCAAACAATGTTGAATTATTCTTCATAGAAGAGAAGTATGATATTCGAGCTTTATGCTGAATTTTGTAGCTTGCTTGTATTTTAGAAATTTGGATGGCTGTGGTGTCTTTCCAGCATTGCTTTTTGGGGGTTCAATCAGTCTCTAATCCAGTCAACCACCTTCTTCGGATTATCCTATCAGCATTCACTGTTGACCACTAAAGTGACATCAGAATCGCAAGCTTTTTTTCTTTCCCAATGACCCAGCCCAGTTAAAACAGCATAAAACAGAAAATTTCTATAACAAACCATTTTAGTGAATCATATTTCAAAATGTGTTGAGGCAACACGTATTTTCAAGCTGGCAGTGAAACTCTAAAGTGATTCCAAAATACGTTCTTCTTGGGCAGCGGGTTTTATGTATTATGAGAGTATGACAGTATTAACGTACGGATGTGAGTCCTGCACTATAAGCTGATCAATGGAATAGAAATTAGAAGCCGTGGAAATGTGCCTGCATAGAAGAATGATGAAGATCTCGTGGGAGAGGAAAATGAAGAATGAAGAAGTTCTACAGAAAGTAACTACTAAAAGAAGTTCTACAATAAGAGAAAGGCAATGGAGATTTGTTTGGCATATTCTGAGAGAGGAAGATGGAACTGAGAAACATATTATAGAAACATAAATGAAAGGAAATAGGCCAAGAGGAAGGCAGAAAATTAAAATGCTTGACTGGATGAAGGAAAAGCTGAGATTAAGACAAATGCGGAATTGGGAGATGTTACAATGGACAGAGAGAAATGGAAAAAGATGGGACAAAGTCTGAAAGACAATTCATGAACGTCTACGGCATGAAATTCCATGGTACCTGAAGAAGAAGAAGTGGTTTTTGGATCCGTTACTCAAAATGACAATAACAACAAAAACATGATTAAGGTCGCCACCCAAAAAACACGATTAACCCAAACGAATTAACGAGCCTCATCACGACCCTATTCAATCACTTGACTCGTGCCCCCTGTAGATTGACAAAGCATGGCCCCTAGCCCTTACAGCTAAGTTTATTCTTACAAATGTAATTGCACTTTGCAGGTCTCTTCCAAAAGAAAGCTCAAAGTCAAGAAATCGAAGAATGATCAGAGGAAGAGATGCGACCTTCGAAGAATGGCGCTTTATTGCTTACCTAAACTTCCACCAACCTTATCCACAGTGGAAAGTCTGCGGGGGATCTCTAGTTGCTAGAAATTGGGTACTCACTGCTGCTCATTGTGTTGAGGATATACATAAGTACCCGGAGTTTCTTTCGGTGACAGTTGGTAAGTATACAACTGACTCCCAATAATTCAAGCTTGAACTTATTTGAAGTTTCCAGCCATTCGAACCTATTTTCATTTCCCGTCAGTTATTACTTTTACATATAGCTTCTGTTATTCCCGTTTATCGAATAAAAAAATACCGCAAGTTCTTTAATTTTTGCCCCATTAGGCGTATAGGCCGAGTTTTGTAGAACTTTAGCAAAAGGCATTACTAGTTTCGAGAAACATAGCCGTAAGGCTCCAGTACAAGTTATAATAATAATAATAATAATAATCAATTTATTTAAAGTTGGCGCTACATAGCTATTTACAAAGAAATGAGCTAATCCAAGCCAACTGTTAAAACTACTACATCAACTAAATACATACGAGATTAAATACATAAAATTTTAAATACAAAATGATCCATTAAAAAACTATAAAAACCTGAGCTATTTAAAAGATAGAATTACAAAAAACCAAGCTGTGGCACGAACGTCCTACATAGTTTGCATGTACAGTCTGTGCCATTCCAGCTTTTAATTTCTTTCTTAAACTCATTAATAGATTGAGCATTCCTTATGTGCTGAGGTAAAGAGAGCCAAAGACGCTGCCCTCTATATTTGATAGTTTCGGTTCCATAAATGGTTGTTCTTACTCTTGGTACCATAAATTCATTATTATTTCTCAAATTATAAACAGCATGACGCTCGCAGAAAATCTCCCTCATAAAAGGAGGGTTGATATTTCCCTTTGTTTTAAACATTTCAATCATAAGATTTCGCAGGTGTTTTACATGAATATTTACCGAGCCATCATTTTCTAGCAGAGTATTGAAGCTAGAATCATAGTCTTTGTATGCAATTCTCAGAGCTCTTTCGTGTATTCTATTAATCTTACTATTCAAGTGCCTACTGTGGAACATCCAGACTAGTGGACAATATTCGAATTGGCTAATTACAAATGCTCTCATTAAGATTTTAAGTTTATTAGCGTCCATGTATCCAGATATGCGAGCGAGGGCGGTGAGTTTGCTACCAGCCTTCTTACATACTTTACTGATATGTGTCTCAAAACTGAGTTTTTTGTCTATCACAACACCTAGTAGCTTTTCCTCTTCCGAGTTTTCTATGATAGAATCTCCTACATTAACTTTAACCTGTTGATTAGAACTTTTGCCAAGAATAAGTAAATGACATTTGTTTGTATTCAACTTCATAAAGTTATCAGCGAACCATTGGATAGTTATACTTGAGTCATTCTCTAGCCTTGCAATTACATTATTGAGATTTTTATCGCACGCATATAGAGTTGTATCATCCGCGTAATTGCAGATATCCGTATCCATTAAGGAGAGAAGTAAGTCATTTATGTAGATGTTAAAAAAGAGGGGACCAAGAACTGATCCTTGCGGAACACCAAGGAACAATTGTTTGTAGGTACTGAATGATCCATTAATCTTAACTCTCTGATGCCTATTTTCCAAGTAGCTGTTAACAAGACACAGTGCTTCATGGCTGAATCCATAAGCATCTAGTTTTGCTATAAGGAGGTCATGTTTAATACAATCAAAGGCTTTCGAGAGATCCATAAGGATTGCGCCAACATTTTCTCCCCTGTCTAAGCTTGCTTTCCATTTTTCAAGCATTCGAACTAATGCGTGCTGCACATTGTACCCTTTACGAAAACCACATAAAAGTGACGATAAATAAGATTGCATATAATCAATAATCTGTTTATCCATAAGTCTCTCAAAAACCTTTGAAACAGTTGGTAATACACTAACCGGTCTGTAATTTTTCTTATTGGTTTTCTCCTCCGATTTGTGGAGGGAAGTGACATCTGCTAGTTTTAATAGGTCAGGAAAGACACCATTTTGAATGCAGTTATTGAAAATAAGCTGCAACGATTCGGAACAAATGTCAGAGCTATTTTTCAGCACTCTCGCGGGTATATTTCCAAAGGTTGTTGCCTTTTTAGGATTAAGCCCCTCAATTTCAGAGTGCATCTGTTCCACAGTAACCTCTTGGAATTTAAAGTAGCCGTTAATTCGAGCAAAACTGCGAATTTTCCTAATGCTAGGGTGTTTTGAATATTTCATTATAGCCTTTTCTATAGGATCTGATAAACCATTTGTACTTATGGTAACCTCCCTGTTTCCTGTCAGACCTAATGAGTCAGTAATCGATATAAAATAATCGTTCAAGGCTTCTGCAACTTCCTTATCATTGGAAATCATCCTATTATTATCGATAAGGGTAATATTTGAGTTCGATCGACTTTTATCGGAAAGGACAGGTTTTACAGTTTTCCAAAATTTCTTGTTGTCTGTAATATCAGAAGTATTCAAATTTTTATAGAAATTTCTTTTTTCCGTTCTAAATAATTTGACACACAAATTACGCTGTCGACGAAACGCTTCCCAATGTTCAGCTGTGCGGCTTTTATTATATCTATTTTTCAACCTAGAGCGCAGCATAGTAGCTTTACGAAGAACTAGATTCATGAAGGGACCATCATTGGCCCTTGCGTATTTTTTCTTCATCGGTGCATGCTTATCAAGTACCTTCTCAAAGCAATTTTGAAAAGAACTGTAGTCTAAATCAGTTGTTTTAATGCTAGCCAACTCTTCCTTAAGTTCTCGTTTGAAAGTCTGCTCCGAAAATTTCTTATATTCTCTATAGTTAATAACAGTAGGTCCAGCCTTTTGGTACGTCGTTTTCAAAACTGTGACTATCATTTTGTGAAAGTCAGAGAGACCTGTCTCGGTAGTGGTGGTATGTTGGAAGCTCCTATATCTGTTGGTTAAGATTAGGTCAATACACCGTGGATTGTCAGCCTTGAAACAGGTTGGCTCCTTCACCAGATTTCTGAGGTCATAGCTATTCATAAAAGTACGAATCTGTTGATCTGTCTCTACTGTATTAAAATCCCCAAGTAATAAAAATTTGTCATATTTTTCACTGTAATGATCAACTGCTTTGCCAAGATTTTCGAAAAAGTGATCTTGTGATTGGGACGGTGGTCGGTAAACACTGAAAAGAGCCCACTTATTCCTCCTTAAATTGATTTCAAAACAAATACATTCAATGTCAAGATCAAATTTAAATGACTTTAACTGCTTCATTGTGATGTCACTTTTCACATAGACCAACAGACCGCCACCCTCACAATTTCTGTCAAGCCGTAGTGGATCAGCATAACCTTCAATATAGAATTGTCCCTTTGGGAATGAATCATCAATTTTTGTTTCGGCGACCATTAGAATGTCAAGATTCTGTGAAACTATCGCTTTTAGTGCATCAAATTTATTTCTAATGGAATTTATATTTAGATACCCGATAGTCATACGACCTATGTTCTTTAAACGCAGATTATGTAATGCTGATTTTGCATCACTGTCGTCGGTGGTGTCATGTAGGTCATGCGCAGTAGTTCCAGCAGTAACTGCTGGGGCGTTACAAATACTGGCGCTGGATAGATCAGGCTTCCCAGGTTCTATGCCGATGGGAAGCTCTTTGTATGGTTTTACCCCCTCGATTTCTAGTCAATCAAGTTGGAAAGTTGAGATAGGAAAGACATCATAAACACTTATAACAATAGATTTTACAGAAAAGTAAAACTTCTCCCGACCCGTCTACGCAGACCCCAATTGCTCCTAGTCATTCAACATTCAACACAGTGCCGCTTGTCATAGCTACTTCTTTAAAGTTAAACTTAAGTTAAAGTCAATGTTACATTACTGTTTGTGTATTTTAAAATTTCAAGAAAAGTAGATTGCAAATGGTAACCTTTGGTATCGACCCTTACAAAAGGAGTTGGAATAGGACCAGATTGCATAATCAACAAGAAAGAAGTCTACCCGGGCTCTTATGATAATACGATTTTATCAGTGCCACTTTAAGCTCGGATTTCAGTTGCCAGCAGATCATTTGCAATATAACCCGATGTCTTGCATAAAACCAAAACCAACCCATCGAAAAAGTTCGCAACTCCAGATACTTATCTTTACTTGCCTAATTCATTGATTTGGATTAACGGGATTTTATATCAATGTGATTTGAGTTTATTTTCCATACTTCTCATACATTATCAATAAAATTAAGGAAACTAACTAATTAAGGAAATTAAGGAAATTAAGAATGCTTTGCTGTGCAAAAGTCTTATATCACAAAGTTAAGAGACCATTTTCCTTGAATCTTCTTCGTCGGAGGCCATGTGGAAAGCATCACTGTTGGAAAATGTTTAGCGAACAGTCTTCAGTGTCATTTCAGGTCTCCAACATTTACCCAAAAGTGAGGTTTGACATTTCTCTGTGTGGTCTTCGATAATACCTAGAATGTGACTAAACAATATTTTGTTTCATAGACATTTCGATTAGGGTTCGACAAATAAATGAAGGCCTCACAGTTTTAATGAATGTTTCAGCGTGTGAAATCCTGCCAGATTCAGGGGACTTACAAAGCTTTGATCTTAATCCCTGAAAGGAGACTTATGGAGCTCTGGTTTGATCCTTGAAAGTCTTACGGAAATATTGCCTTGTAAGAATGAACTTCTACAGAGCCATTTTGATCTTGGCAAATAAACACATTGAATTTGTGTATATAATTTGTTTCATGATTGAGTTTCACCAGATTTTATCAAATGACATCAATGTCCCTTCATTTTCAAAGAAATAGTTTTTTATCATTCTTCCATGATAATAACGTCTTATTCTAGCGTGTTAACTGACTGTGCAAATTTTGATCAATAGTTTATGGCATCACATCGTCTTACTTAGCACATCAATTGTATAAATCAAACATCAGAGGCCCCAAAACTTATCCTTGTGGTACACCTGGTCTCCTTGTTTTCAGGTTACTAAACGAGCAATTTCTTTTCACTTTTCATTTTCCCTGACTCAAGTAAAAATGTAAAAATTGCAAGGTGGCTTTTTGAAGCAATAGGCACTGCTTTTAAAAAATTACCAAGCCAATGCTCAAGAAATCAATTTCTTTAGATAGACCCATCAAAAGTGCACTATAAATCTGCTTAGTTTCTTTGTCGCTTCTTAAACCCGAGTTAAATATGTTGTGTGCTGTAGCACGCTCTAAAACCACCGTAGTGACAGGAGGCTGAGAGAGTAAAATTTCCGTTATCATCTTATTCTCTTCTCTGTTACATTTGAAACCTGATTTGACGGCAAATGGAACATAGACACTCCTTTTAGCGACATAGCTAGCGATGACCAGGAGTATGTTTTATAAGAAGGGGCAGGTTGGTGCGAAATACTTCTTCCCCCTCCAGCAGGCCAAAGAATTTAGTGCCCATACACTTTTCAACAGGACAGTGTTTTCGTGCGACAAATTGGTTTCAGCAGTGGTTCTCCATCCAATTAACTGATATTCAACGAGCCTCAAAAAGTAGCCAAGATGGTCCACATAATTCTACAAAATGATGTCATAAGAACGAATAGAGGTTAAGAGGCTAGCAATCTTAAACAGTGTTTTATTATTTTTAACAAGCTCTTTTAATTCTAAGTGCAATTATGAAGATGGTGCTACCATTTTGTCTTTTTCCTCTCTGAAACAAGAGTTGAATTTTTTCTACACACAATCTGAAATACAAGTACAATCTTACATTTTACATTTTAAAAGTACAATATTACAATGACGATGTCATTGGGCGCATGATCGGAGACAGTGGCGGAAATTGCGGGGGTGTGGGGGGCCACCGCCCCCAGGTTTTGGTCAATTGTCGGTTTTGTTGGTAAAATTATGTCATTTGTCGGCTAATTTGCTTGCTTTTGTGGGCATCACCCCCCATCCACTTGAAAAATGAATTTTCGCTACTGATCGGAGATGACAGGCTTGGCTACCCACTGGCCGTTGCAAATAACAAAACAGTAGCACTATGCAACAAGATTTTGTGTACGTCACTTCATAGGCATAACCGGTTTTGATCGATTTTATTGGAGAGATGAAAGCAGTTGACGCTACATTTCTTGAAAGAATTTCCTTTCCTCGGTCCCATTTTATTATGCCGTATCTACACCAACAGGCCGTTCTTGGCGCATTAAGAACGAAAAGAAAGTTCAGCCGTCAAAAAAGTTTGCTGACCGTCCATTTCAATGCTTTATGTCAAGAGAGAATTAATTTTTTTGCAATTCTTATCTCCGTTTATAGCTTATTCTGTTCAGACATGCAATTTGGATAGAGTATAGGTTTGATTTTTTCAATCCTTTTCCCTATTTGTCTGTTGACAACATGATCATGAAGAGGGTCGTGCGACATTCGATCAATTATTTATTCAGCCATCAGGTTGTTTATCGTTGTGTAATATAATGTAAGGGGTCTTCTTCATTTTGGGGGAGGTAATGACTCCAAGCCAAGCTCTGGTTACAACTTCTCTCTTGATGTTACAAGCAAATACCATTCGCAAATAGCTTAAAGTTTACAATTTACGCAGCAACTTGCTCTTTAATATGCACAAGGAAATGCAAGGCGCCAAAAGTAGACCCCGGGGGTACCCCTGCGAAAATGCCTCACCATGGAAATTGAACATTGTTCGAATTTGGATAACCCAAGAAAGCTTTTCCGAGAAATCACAACGTTTTAGTTTAAAAACCAGATCATTATATTATGCCTTTCACTGTTTACCATCTATCTAATTACAATGCTCTTTTTACCTGTGGAATTTGATGTTTCATTGTTAAAATACTTTTATAGGGCGCACCAAAAGAGGTCAGCATTCCGAGCACACATACAAAGTAAAGAAGATTGTTGTGTACAAGGATTATTTTGCGATTAACAGTGACAATGCCACCTCCCAGGATTACTTCAACTGGGATTACGATATTGCCCTGCTGAAGCTGAACGACTCTGTCCAGCATGATTTCGTGGAGTTGGCCAAGTTACCAGAAAAGTCCTTGGAAATCAGTGAACTTAGCAATGTGCAGTGCAAAGCAGCAGGTTAGTTTTACTGATCATATTCTTTACTAACATGAGCTTAGTGACGCTAAGAGCATTAATTTCGCAAAAAAACCAGCAAAAACATTCTTTAGAAATAACCAACCTTTGAAGAAGAATGTCTATGTAACATGATACATGAGCTGGGAATAACACCATTAACTGGGCATAGATAGGGTAAGGATAGAGGCTAACTTGTTTGTTCTTCAAAACTATTACTGTTCAAATTTGAACCGATACTACTTGTTATTCGCATTGACTTTAAGCAAATAAGTATTGCTTTGTTCTGGCTATTGTTCTTGCCTCGCTGAGAAGATTCTAGGGATAATGAGAGCTTCGAGTTCAGTTTCTTATCGCTATCTATATTTGACTCCTTAGGATGGGGAAGCCAGCGACAGCTCCAAACTACAAAAGATGTTTCAAAAAAAACATACAATACCTCAGACAATCTACAAGAAATTGACGTGCCTTTGAAAACAAAGGCTCTTTGCAAACTGCAACATGGACAAGAGGTTTCAGGTCTTGTTTTCTGCGGAGGAGAGCTTGAGCAAGACTCAATGACAAGTTGTATTGGAGACTCGGGCTCCCCCCTTGTTTGCAACGGAATCAATATGAAAACCCCTGTTCTTGCTGGTATTGTGATCGGGGGTAATTATTTCTGTAAAACTGGAAAAGAATATATGATGTTTACGGAAGTTGCAAAATACAGAAAGTGGATTAATCATTATTTGAACTGCTAAAGCATTCATTGTTTTTATAGAGTTTTTATATTGTTTATTAATGTTGCGTAAAAGCTTTTATATGTATGGTATAGTTATTACAGTCCTTGCAAGTCTTCCGGATCCTCCAGAAGTTTACCGGGCTTTTTGACCTCTCTCGGAGTTACTAGAATTCGTTGAAGAGAGAGACTTGATGGTATTAATACAGTAAGTACCCGCATATAATTAAAAACTTTTCAATCTGAGGCTTCAGAAAGTTTCTTACTAACAGATACTTTTCATCATCATCACTTCATCATTATTTGCAACTGTCAAGTCAAATCAGGTCAGGCTATATGATGGTACCGTCCATGGATGTGTATTCAATATTACTGGTAGTAGTGTATAATACATAGTCTACAGTATAATTTTTTATATCAATAGAATAGACAGACTACAAACATCTCAGAGCCAAACAGAAATTCAAAACACGACTGTTTAAACTTCAAAATAAGAAGCATTTCAATTTCAGGCCTAAAATTGTTTCTTATAGAATGAGCTCCTTTTGAAGAAAACGAGGCCTGTTTCTAATACAAGGGGGTTCTTTTATGGTGGTACTTCCTGTATTTAGTTCCACTCTTACTGAATGCGGTTCATTGGAATCGAGCCTATACAGCTATGTTGACTTAATTAGCGTTTAGTCAAATCTTCAGGATTTTTTCAAAAACTCAGAATTTAAAAAATAAACAGTTAAATCCTTGGAACTTTTGGTCTGGTTGAGGTCTTGTGTTCAAATTTCTGTCTATAATGTTTTTTAAGAGCAAATGTCTCTGTATACCTCTTATCGTGTATGTCAGTTTTTCAAAGTATCGGTTTTAGCATCAATCTCAAACACTTGAAACATTTGATTTTATTAGTAGAAATAAAATGAATTTATCAATGATTTTCATTTATACTCAGAGAGAGGTTTGCAGTATTTGTTCAGTACTGGCCTCTCACAATTTCCCACACATTGTATCAGTTATATTACAGCACTTCTTCCTTTGCCAATGCTCATGTTTCTTCGCCGCATATTTCTTTGATGCAATTGGAAAACAAAGCTACAACAGAATAATAATAAAAATAATAATAATAATAATAATAATCATAATAATAATGGAAACTTTTCATTTTCAATTCAATTAAAACTACAATTACAAGGTAATTTGCAATTGACTAGCCTGGGTTTACAAAGAAAAAGACCATTACAAGCACAAATAAAAGAAGTTAACAAAAAAAGGAAAAAGTGTGTTTGTCATTGTTTTAGAAGTTGTCAGTAGCAGAGATCGTTAGAATTGAAGAAGTTCAGAACTTTTCCAAGCATATTTCTGTGGCAGAAAATGTAATAGGTAGTACGGATAGTTAAGTTGGATAGTTTGGAGATTATGAAGCGGAGATGAATGTCACTGATATCTAATGCGTTGCACATGTCGATGAAAAAGGAGCAGGAGAGACAAAAGATACCTAGGAAACTGATCGAAAGATTAACAAACATGATAGAAGAATAGGCTGAGCTTAGGCTTTGAATGAGATGCGAGTATTTCTTTTTTTTGCGGTTAGCATTAACATCCAAGTTAGTTTCGTATCCTACTGTAAGCTCCAGTATGAATAGGCGATGGTCAGAAGTGACTAGAAGTAGATCAGATGATAGAGGGTGAGAGATACCCTGAAAAGTCTACGTAAAGAGAGCAATTAGGTATTACCTCGTAATAGTGAGATTTTTAATTGTAGTTTTAACTGGAATTCAAAATGAAAAGTTTCCAATAATAAGAATTATAATGGTAATAATAATGCGTCAAGTTTTCAACTGCGTCCAGTTCTCCTTCCCTATAGAACAGAATCAAGGCAAGAAATCATGTTAGACGATCAGGAAAGTCGACAACATCAATATGTGATCAGTCGACAACATCAATTCTTTGAACTTGCTACCCACTTTCCTACCCTGGGTACCAGAGCCACAAAATTTTGACCGGGTAAGTAGAAAGACGCTCCTCCGCTACTCCACTCCGATCTTCTGCTTCCGCTCTCGAATTTAAGAAGGTTGTTTTCCTTCAATGGGAGATGCTCAATTTTTAAAACACATTTAAAAGTTACCTAAACTGTTATTTTTTCCATTAAAAATATGGAAATTTGTTTGTTTTGACCTTTTATCACATAGGCCTGGATTTAAATGGTTGATCTCCATTGGATCTCAATTCAACTTTTGAGAATCACATTTAAATGCTTCACCATAGTTCATGCCTATGATTTTATGGGGCACTCGTTGTGCGGTACATTGGAAGTACCAACGAGGGGTTGCCGGAATACTCGCATCGCAAAAGAGCTAAACAAATTCAAGTAAAATGCTCCTGCGGCCCCTGGAGTGCAGGGGATGCAGGGGTGGTTGTGCCGCCCGTGGCGAGAGGCGATCGAAAATAATGCGGCCCGTAAACGCCTCATATTGATTTGGCTACGTGGGTTATAGAATATGGAATAAAATATATCCGCCTCTAAATACGATTTAATAACGCTTTAACCTACTCTTCAATTCCATTTATTGGGCTGACATCAAAACATTTAATTTTGATAAATTTTATGATTGCATTCCAGATGATTTTATGTTGAAGATGGAAATAACTTACAGAAAGTTCTTCGTTTCGTTACTTGCATAAATGTTTTCTTTCAACAAAAATTTTCCACGTTCTCATCGAATTTAGAAACGAAATTTGAAAAATATGTCTGAAACTTTTTTCACCGAAATTTTATCCACCCGAAATTTTTGACGCCGGATTTTTGTGTACTCATGGTATTGGAACCAGCCTCGCTATAGTTATTAAAGAGAGAGGCTGGTAACGTGAAGTGGATTGTTCCGAATGGGTGCCACGAGTTTTAGGCTCGTTCAAATATTGTGTTGCTGAAAAGACTTAAAAGTATTTCAAATCGAACTTAACAGACAAGGAAATCACCAGAATTCTATGGTTGCGTACAAGAAACAGCCATTCGTACAACGTCAATTTGTAGAATATTCAGTATTAGGCCATCTATCGATCGGTGATTGAAGCCTGTTGTGAAAAACATGTCGAAATCAGTTCACTTAGCAACTCCACATGTTTTCCCCGGTGTTGGACTCAGATTTCTTAGAAGCGATGGATCGACTTCAGATGTTGCTTCTGGAAGCATCGTTGAAATTAGCTCCAAGGGACAGACAAATCTATTAGTTGTTCACAATGGTAAGGTTTTTTGATGTTTTCAGAGTAGCCTAAAATAAGCTTTAGTTTAGGCCATGGCATTCATTAGATATGGGCGCATTTCAAATCATTTAAGGACAGATTAAAATTTGGCGGCAGATAGAAATCCCTTAATGACGAAAACCCCTCAATATTTGAATAAATTAAATGTTTCTTGTCATCAGTTGCAATATCTTTCACAAAGAATCTCAACACAATCTCAATTTAATACAAATTAAAAATCAGTTTGAAAATCGCTAACGAATTTTTGTGTTTTATTAATTTGATTAATTCATGTAACATTTTCCCAGAACAAAAATTATTTTTTGAAGCCATACCTTTTAAGTTCACGAGCTTTGAAGACTTAAGGTTTGTTATTTCAATATTATGTATTTTGATGCAGTTTTTAGTCAATAAACAGATAATTTCAAAAATAAATCAAATATATAATTGCTTGAACAATCAATCGATCCAAAAATGAAACTGCTGTTGTCAGATTTAAAATGCCAAAATCAATGCCAGAATCAATACCATAACTATAAGTCTTTGAATAAAACCACAGGGCTAATTTTGCAAAACTATTTATAGGATATTCAAGAAAAGGGCTTATTTGGTATTTAGTAGTAGCCAAAAATATTACCAAAGTAAATTTTCTTCCTTTATTTGTGAATAGTAGGTATATTTACTTTCTCCATTTGATTTGAGGCATTTATCCCCACCTCTCTCAATGATATCTTCCCATTCATCTTCATTCCAAAGAAAGCAATTTCCGCAAATGATTGAATTATCTTTTAAGGGTACTGTGCGACCTAGAGAGGGTTCAGTGATTTAAGAAATGTGATGATGTTTCAACTCTGTTCAACAAAGTTAAAAAAATAGCAGATAAAATAGCTCAAGCAAATAAAAACAAAAAGCAGCCCCTGTTTGACCAACAATGGACTTACCCAAGCCCCTGTAATTACCAAAGGGCAATTAATAATGTGCTAGTCCATTGGAAATCAGGCCCTGTTCCCATTACTCTGTTTTCATACAAAAATCGAGCTGAATGTAATCGTTTTTTATTTGCATTCCAATTAATGGGCTTGGAAATGGGATAATGGGAAATGGGCTAACAATGTTTAAAGTTATCAATGGAAAAAGAGTTATTTGAAAACGAGTCATTTTAATGGGAGTAGGAAAAAACAAAGTCATTCAAAAATGGAATCATTTTAAAACAAAGTGTTTTGAAGAGAGAAATGAAAACAGAGTAATTTAAAAACAAATTTTTTCATCCTCAGTTTCAGAATGAGCTCAAACAAAGGATATTAAAACAGACAAAAACAGAGTAATGGAAACCTTTCACTTTCATTTTGACCAAACAGTGTGGGCCAGAACAAAGGAAACTTTTTATGATAATACAGAAATGGAATGACTGTCAGTTTGACTTTTCGATGTCAAACTTCTGTTTCCAAAAAGAGTTTCCTGAAAAAATTGACCTATCATCATCTATTAGTTACTCTTTTTAAGAGAAATATTTATCACTGGACGTGCAACTAATCACTCCTTAAGGAAATATTGGGTGCATGCCTGCCCGCTGCAACCATAAAGTATGTCTAGATTTTAATAACTCTGAAAACAGCTGTTCCTTGTATGTGCTTAAATATTGACTAGTGTATACAAAATTGCTTTCTCCAGATTTAAAAGATAAGCTTGAGAATGACATTATTTTATAAATTTTGTTTACATTTTGTAGTTGACTCATCAATTGTAAACTTTCAGGGTCTGGAAAAACTCTTGTCAATGTACCCTTGCAAAGAGTATTAGATTGTTACAGAGTTGGGAAACTTTGCTTTTCGATCGGCCTGGACGAGCAGCCTGTCATACTTATTTTTGAAAGTAGTGAAGGTGGGAATGCCTTTTTCAAATTTATCTTGTATAAGTTAGAGTAATGGCTAAAATATTTTTATATATATAGCCATTACTGATGAAGACTTTGGTCGAAACATTTACATGAGAGTGTTTTTCTTGAAGACATGTATAAATATATATATCTATATATATTTTTTTATAATAAAATAGAATGTAGACTAGAAATGAGACAGAGAACATTCGAGCACATCGAGCACTGTCACGTCAGAATAGACAACGCAATCTGGAATATATATTTTTTAATATATGCATACAAATATATATTCAACAGCTATATATATATGTATTCTTTACTGATGAAGGAAAATCGAAACGTCTTACGAAAGTGTTTTATTTGATTTTATAAAACATTATTGTCTAGAGCTTTTGAATGTATATATATCTATATACCAGTTTTTTTAATTTTCACTTCCAATTAAAAAATATAATGCTGATATTACATTTTGAGATACTGGCAATTAGTCAGTACGTACAGAAAAAGACTGTTAAGTTTATTTTCTCATTATAAAATGTATTTCCTAGAGACTTGTATTTCAAATATTTACACAGTGATGCATCAGTAGATCTAATCTTTGAGAAAGGCAATTGTGCTTAGCATGATTTGATAAAAGACATTGCTCTACAGCTACACAAGTAGTAGTATATAGGCCCCAATTTGCCCAATTTTTTGGCATACATTTCATATTGGATTGACCAGTGTTTCTGTTGAAATAGTGAAGAAAGGCAACTTTCTCCACTGAGCTTTGCTTTTTCTACCATCTTAGAGCTACAAAGGTTTGAAGATCTTTTCTATCTGGTTACTGGACATCCTAAACAGATGAAGTCAACATTTAATGAAAGGACAGAAGAGTCATCTGCTGCACAATATTTTCAGGTAAACTAAAAGATGTTTTCAATTAAAGCAGCAAGTATTTTTTAAGTTACAAAGAAAAAGGGAGATTTCATCTATGATAACTGAACCTCAGGTGAAAAGTGCAGAATGATAGTGAAATTCTATTCAATAATTGCAAAAATAGAAGAAAGTGTATCAATGTTGTAATGTCCATTGCAACATGTAAGCAAGTTTTTGCATTACTTAGTTTATATATGATTGTATGTAAAGGCTTGATTTTGTGACAAACGGCCCCCCCCCCCAAACGCAGAGTTACACTTTTTAGAAAGACATTATGATGATGACTTTAGAGCAGGCTTGTACACTGCGTGGTCTGTGGGCCACATTGTGGCCCATCATATCGTCTTGTGTGGCACGCAGTGAGGTCAAAGTTGAAAGAGAATTACATTGTATTGATTCAGGTTGTAAGAAAGAAATTTATTCATATTATTTGTGAGATCAAATTAAAGCACATGCACTAACACACACACACATTTAGCGAGTTACTCTACACTTATTTTGAAAATTCGAGACAGGTACAGGATATGTTTTGGAGAAACGAGACAGATAGTGAACTTGGTGAATGAAATTTCAAATTTTGGTTGACAAACAATTTTTTTGTAGCTCGGCAAGATGACTCTGCTTTGTGTTTGATTTGTTTGAAAAAATCGCAGTGTGGAAGGAATACAATATTGCTAGGCATAATAACATTAATCATTCATCTTTTAGTAAGCTGGAAAGCCAGTTACATACATCTTCGTGATTATGTTTCCTAAACAAGAGAGTTTCTAGTTATCAATCTCTAAGCAAATCAGATTTTTGCAGTTCAGATTGTGCTGCAAAGGTCAGCATATGTCATAATTTACTTTTTTTAGAGAAACTACAAATAACAATTAAAAATTTGAATCAGACCTTGATCACAGCAGCAGATCAAGGCTTGTTTCACACAGTACTGATTGTGTACCTTTCTAATAGCGTTCCAAATTTTTGAACAAATAAATGAACTGTTCATGTGGGAACAGAACGATTAGGTATCAATTTTTCTTCTGTTAAAGTGGGATGTCAGTCGCCCCGTTCCACATTCTGTGCTAGAGTTTCAAAAATACATTTGTTTGACAGCAAAATGCATGTGAATTTGTTTTGATTTTTGCTAATTTTTTATGCCAATTTGTTATGTATTTCTTTGTAGTTTTATGGTTATTTATCACAACAGCAAAACATGATGCAGGTATGTTGATGCCTGCGCAAAGTAAATTTGCGAGGGCTTTTTTCAGCCTGCGCAGTTTTTCAAATTAATGTCTCATTTAATCCAAGCAGTTTAGCTTCCCAATGTTTGTACTACTTACCGCTAAATATCAGGGTGTTAGTAAATAAATGGAAAGAGCTACACCATGCTGTCAAATCCAAAACAATTTTTCTTTAAACATATAGAGGAACATATAAACTAGGCATTCCCAAAACGCCACATTTGAGCTGCTATTTCAAAAAAGTTATTTTCCTCTTTTGTCTCGTTTTAAGGTAATACAAAATTTAAAGGTAGTAAAACACACCAAAATTTTAAAGTGTTTAAAGTGAATAGTGTTTAAGGAATTCCTTAGGTGAGGACAAGGTGATGTATTTTTGCCTTTGTAAATACTCAAAATATAAAAAATTAACAACAGTTCTGTAAGGGCGAAATAGCCCACACAGCCAAACTGGCAAGGGTTTTTTATAACCCACGTTTTTTCCCAGAGAGGCCTGAATAGAAGCACACAGTATTTCTTTCCATAGATCTTTGTATTTCCTGATTATAGTCAGGCAAAATATTCTCGCAGAGGTATTGCTTTGCATGTTTCGTTCAAAATCTCAGAAAATCATTATCTTCAAACACTTTGTGTGGAGCATTCTGTATCCTGAACTAACTTAGCATTTTTTTTTGAAATATATATGTCCAATGTTTTTAGTCTAGCATAATATACAGTTTAAAATAATGTAAAAAGCAAGACTACTGAAATGCCTCATGCTGTTTAAAATAGATTTATACATAATATACATATATCAAAAATAGGTATATTATATTTTTCTGTCATCATGTATAAATATGCATTGTTAGGATTATACAAGGACGTCTACCTACCAAAGAGCAATTTTGCAGAACATCAGTGATTTTAAAGATAAGGTAAGCCAGGCCTGAAAATTTCGTGGAAATGCCTGTTCCTTGTCATGGCATTTCCCAAAGTTCAAAATGACAGCAGTGTTAGAGCATTTCTGAGTATGTAATAAAGACATTTTTGGCATTTTTGATGTTTAACTTGGTTTTGGGCTTCATGTTAAAAATGTTCCTTTTTTAAATAATATGTATCAAGAAATCCTTGATATGTATCAAGAAATCCTTGATCTATTGTTTATAATAACCATTTCATTGCATAAATGTTGTACTTGCTCTAATATAATAGTTTTATCAAGTGGTTTTAAAAGCAGCATTGTATATTATTTAGAAGTTTAACACTATTTTGTGAATCAGCTTCTAAGCTAAATTTCTTGATAAAGTTTTATACAAGGACAAGTTTCTGTCACCCACATTTCTGTCATCCAAATTTTTACAAAAGAACCTTTTTGCCAATTTTAACAATCCTAATTTCTGATCTGAATGTTAGACTATTGGTATTAGGAATTCTTATATGCATTTACACATTTTAGGTTGTTCTTGATGTTGGAGCTGGAACTGGTAAACTGACTGTATTATTTATTTGAATAAACCCCACTCTCCAACTTTCCCCTTAACTTCCCCTAAAAGAGTGGTCTGAATATCAAATTTGACTATAAATTTTAATCAGGGGCAGACACTTGATCAAATATTGGGGGGCAAGCCTATTGTTTTAATAAGATGATGTCACATTTCCCATTGTTTTAGAACAAAATACCATTGTCCTCTAGAGTATTGGTGGGGGGGGGGCGGTCGCCCCCCTCGCCCCCCCCTCAAGTGTCCGCCACTGATTTTAATATCTAATTGTTTAATTTTATAAACTTTATGTTAAATGTTTGGTAAAACGTCAACTTAGATTGTCACTTTGATGGTATAATTTTTTGCTCAGTAGTAAGTTACATTTGACCTTATAGTGATTTTGGTTCTTCAGCATCAAGAAGGTTCACAGTTTCAACAATAAAAATGTTGCCCATGGTTATCTCTTGGTGAACGTGTCTGAGATATTTTTGCTTAGCGGCAAAAGTCTACTTGTATCATATTTGTAAAGAAACTCGCTCTGTTTTAATTGCAATGTTTTTTTTAATTTTCTAGGTATTCTTTCATTCTTTGCTTTGCAAGCGGGTGCCAGGAAAATTTATGCAGTTGAAGCAAGCACAATGGCACAACATGCACAAGTATGATAAACGGCCAAATTTATTGCAGTTGTTCCCTTTTAGGCCTAAGAAAAATGCAAAAGTCTGTTTTTCAATGAAGGGTCTTCCCAAGCACTCTGTCACACAAACTTAACCACATAAATTGATTAAAGACTTGCATTTGTTGTTGTAATTTTTGCAAACTTCTACTTTGAATAGAAGAGTTAAGAAAGGAAAACCACCCTTTACCACCCTGTACAGTCTTGACCTGCTATAAAAAGTTGAGATTTTATGCTGATATGCCATTAGTTTTATGGCTTTCCGATAAATGGATGTGAATCATCTCCCTGTGTTACCTCCCCGAATCATCTATCTTTTTTCAAGTAAATATGCTGCACAGCTGATCTAGCATGTGGATATCTTCAGAGATTCCATATACTTTCTATCAATTGCTAACTTGAGCTAACATGTAAATCGAAGCAGAAAAGTGCCTTATTCAACCCCTTATTATGAATGTACGTTTGTTACTGTGAAAGTATAATTTTCGTTGCTGTTTTGGTGGTGCTCAATTAGTTGTTGTCTTCACAGTATAAGTTAAAACCTTTCGTGAATGGGAAGCTCATCATCACAGGTTTCTATCTAATAAACTTTGATTTCCATTATTTTTTCATACTTAATCCTGATATGTTTCCTTTTTTCAATCTAGACTTTGGTAGCGCATAACAATGCTTCTTCTGTTATTGAAGTAATCCCAGGAAAGATCGAGGAGGTTTGTTGTTTTATTTTCAGTTTGCGTTTCCCAGAGATGCCTTTTCCCTGTCTTGCAACGCCCACATAATGAATAAATTTAAGTGTTCTTAAAGATGTATTTTGCCATTGGATGTATTAGAGTAAAGTAAGCAGGCTTGGAAAATTCTTTAAAGCATTTATTTTGAAGATGAAATAGTATAGAAAAAAGGAATTGTTCACCTGAGACATGGAGGCCTGTAAAAATTCGATCATTTTAGGTACATACAGTCTCTAATACCTATGAGCCAATTTGGTGATTCTGGTTTCTTTTCGTTACAAACATATTGGTTTATTTACAATATTAAGTCTCCATTCCTCCTAAAAGGCCAGTCAGTGCGATTCATAGTTTCTGCTTGCTCTCTAGATCAGCCTACCCGAAGACGTCGATGTTATCATTAGCGAACCAATGGGGTACATGCTGTTTAACGAGAGAATGCTTGAAACATATCTTCATGGGAAGAAGTGGCTCAAACCTAATGGTAATTCCTAATTAACCTGAAGGATTTCCAACCTTATCAAAATTTTTGAGACACCTGTTCCAAACTGCAACCGATTTGCAAATAACTTTTCCTGTATCCCGTTATTTTGTTGCAAATTTTCAATATTATATGGTCGCCATTAAAAAATTGCCGGCACAGATTGTGTTTATAGGTTTTTAAAGTGACAATGTTATTCAGAAAGGGAAGAATTTAGCTTCGCCTTGAGGGGACAGTCAAGCATGGTGTTTTCTACTTTTAGACCTGGTACTTTGGATACCCAAGCGGCTTTTGACAAGGATTGCTGTTTAGAATTTCTCTGTTTGCACCCTTTCATTGAGCCCAGTGTTGGCAGTGAAGCATATTATTTCATGAAAGGTTGTATTTTGCTGTCTGACTAAATTGAGTCTCAAGAGCTGACAAATTTCATTGATATTCCTATATTATATTGCTTTTTATTTTTTTAGATTAAATATTATAAAGAAGTTTTTTTCCATTTGCAAGGTAAGATGTTTCCGACAAGAGGGGACGTCCATATCGCCCCATTTACGGATGATGCTTTGTACATGGAGCACTTTGGAAAATCCAATTTTTGGTAAGCTGATTTTGCAACGTAGATCAAATCTAGATTCTCTGTTATTTTTGTGGCTTCAGGGTAACATACACTGGCCACGAAATTGTTGTAGAATTAATTGTTAAGCTACTAGTTAGTTTGTTTACACGAGGTTAGTTTCTTCTGATCAACCTCCAGATTTCTCAAGTCAACCAACATCGTGGCAAATAGTGATTTCTTTCATAATTAGTTGAAGCCCAGTAATAATGTGAGGTATTCCTGTTTTGGGTCAGTTTTTACAATATCTCCCCATTCTAAGCTGTCAAAATCATTAAATTTGGCATTAAGTTGAAAGCATTGACTGTGAGTCATTTTCTTGGTTTTTGTCTTTGCAGATTTATACCTCAAGGCTTTTTTTGTCAGTTAAATTCCTTTTGTTTTGATATAAGTAGTTTGGATAAGACCTGCGATTGTTTCCAAATGGCAAAAAACGAATTTATACAAAGCTCAGTCTGTTCTGCTTCTGGCGCCATCGTAAAGTTTGAATATTTTCAAGTTGATCCCATTCTGAGGTGCTCTCATGCCTGAGAATGACATGAAGTTTTTGAGAACATTGCTTGTTATCTGCTTTTGGTACACTGCTTGCAACGAAAAACCGTCGCTGCATTGAGTTGTTCACCGTATACTGTTTTATTCTGTAGATATAACATACCCACATATCGTTTTTTATTTTGTAAATTGCCTTCAATTTAGGTGTCAGAATTCATTCTATGGTGTTGACCTAACAAGTCTGCGGCAAGCGGCAACACAAGAATACTTTAAACAACCAATTGTGGTATGTTGTGTATGAAAATTCGTGTGTAGTAATTTATGTTGGGCAGAAAACTCTCCATTTCATTTCCGGTGTCATTTTTCATCTCATTGTCAATTTTATGGATGTTTTCTTTTAAGTGCTTTCAAGAACAGTTTTTAATTTATCAATTAGTTTACTTTTGATAATTCTAGTTGAAACTAACTAAAAACTGCAAATTCCCAGGATACATGAACTTTTTCTTCGTGTTTTTATTGATCACCACCATCTCTAAGATCCAGAAAACCTTTCCCGTGAGGTTTCCACTCAATATGATTTAACATGATGGAACAAATCAAACCTACCAGATTTGAATTTTTTTCACCTATTCTTCTTACCGTATTTCTACTCGCTGTAAACCGAATATTTTTGTTAACCGAATGCTTTTATTAACCGGATGCTTTTATTAACCGGATGCTTTTATTAACCGGATGCTATTAGTAACCGGGTGCTTTTATTAACCAGGTGTATATAATAACCTGATGTTTATGCTAACTGGTTTGTTTTTTGACCGGCTTTTATATTAGCTGGATATTCACGTTGAAGTAATCCAGTAGGAACTTGCATATTGCAGGACACATTCGATGTTCGCATACTGATGGCCAAGCCTTGTACCCATCATGTAGATTTTCTTAAATCAACTGAGAAAGACTTGGAAAGGTACGCCTTTTTACCCTTGTTTCTGCTATATTTACTTTTTCGTGAAGGTATATCAGGCATTGATATTTACAAGTTTTGTTTGTGACGTCAAATGTTTTATTAAACGTTTTTGACTAGCTTTGTTTGTGACGTCATGGTTGGTGTTATATTCCGACGATTTTCTTGCATCTTCGGTATTTTCTTGCCTTTTTAGCGTCCTCTTTTTTGATTATTTTCATTGCCATTATCATCTCATTCCCAAGTAAACTGATCTGTATAAATGCTGCTAGAGAATGGGCTATTCTGTTTTCTTTGGCAGCGGCGAATGCCGTCTTTGCTTTTTCTTTTTAGAATTATTTGTTTGTTTCGTATACAGTGAAACCTTCGTAGGGCCTTCAGGGCTTCCAGAATTACAGTTCATTCTCAACAGTTTACTTTTAAAAGCTCTGCTCTGCAGATATGTAATTTTATTCGAAAAGTTCATTGTCTGTTGTTTCGAGGCATCCGTTGTTGAGAGATGTTCACTGATGACTGTGTCATGATAGAGTCTTTATGGTCTGTCATGTATTTGAGGTCGTGCAGTCATCCTACTGGCTTGGAAGCTTTTTGTGACAACTATGTTACTCTTCCGGTTTTTTTCTAGGATTCACATCCCTTTGCAATACACAATGCTGATGACAGGCACACTCCATGGACTTGCCTTTTGGTTTGATGTCGGATTTTTCGGTTCAACGTAAGCTGAGCGACTTTTGTCTTTAGAAATTGTAGATAATTGCTTAACGTAAGATTTATTTTAAAAATTTAGATTGAGCAGTCTAATGTTATAGATACTGTTCAAAAATCTTGTCAAGCCCTTTTTCAAGGAGATATTTAGGCTTTCTCATATAAAGACTTTTCCATGATAACTTGTAAAACTAAAAATGTGAATATGTTCAGTGGAAATAAAAGTAATCTGGATTTTATTTCTCGTAAAAACTAACAACTAGACAAACCCTTACTTTTAATGCTTCTTTCGTTAGCGTAAAATGGCATATGTAGTGGATACTTGAAGCGTAAAATGGCATATGTGCGTGGATACTTGAAGCGTAAAATGGCATATGTAGTGGATACTTGAAGCGTAAAATGGCATATGTAGTGGATACTCGAAGCGTAAAATGGCATATGTAGTGGATACTTGAAGCGTAAAATGGCATATGTAGTGGATACTTGAAGCGTAAATTGGCATATGTAGTGGATACTTGAAGCGTAAATTGGCATATGTAGTGGATACTTCATAGTCTTTGAAGTCGTTAAATTGGCAATAACGTAGTGGATATAATTGAAGTCGTTGAAGCGTAAATTGGCATATGTAGTGGATACTTGAAGCGTAAATTGGCATATGTAGTGGATACTTGAAGCGTAAATTGGCATATGTAGTGGATACTTGAAGCGTAAAATGGCATATGTAGTGGATACTTGAAGCGTAAAATGGCATATGTAGTGGATACTTGAAGCATGATGGTTTTTCTCCTCCAGAGGTCATGTTTGGCTGTCAACTGCCCCGCAAGAACCATTAACTCACTGGTATCAGGTACGCGTTACAATTACACATTTTAAATCTCATACACTAAATTGAATCTGCAGTGAAATCTGATTATTTGATTAGCTTTTCCCTCTTTGTTGCGACAATCTGTTCCTGCTCTTGCGCTTCAATTATCTTTTTGGATTGTTCTTCTTGACGTTCAACTACCTTAGTTGTACTGTCGTGGTACTGGTTATAAGTTTCATTATCAAGCTGCGTTTCCCAAAATCTAAATCCATCAAATACCTTACTATATTTGTTTCGTTTGACACTTCCAGTTCAGAATTGTTTGTTTTTATTTTTAACTGCGGTCAGAATTCTTACACTCGTATTTGCTTTACTATTTTACCAGCTCATAAAAGTTTCAAAAAGAGTCACCTGCTCCCTTTGAGTGTGTGCTAAAATCAGTTTTAGGTACAAGAGCTGGAGGTACGTAGAAATTCAAGATACTGTGGTAGGCGTAATTGTTCAAGTTCATCACTCTCCATTTTCTTGAACACCCTCAGTTATCTTGTAAATTAGCTTATCCTTCTTGTGCACAATCATTCCCAATGTATATCTACAAACGATGATATCTAATTACTTCAGGTACGGTGTCTTCTTCCAAACCCAGTCTTCGTCAGAGCTGGCCAGAGGGTTAACGGCAGCGTTACATTAGTCGCAAATGAAAGGTAAGTTCTCTAACAAGCTGCCATTTTACTTCCGGACTGGAAACGGATTAGCTGTTTTTTCCTGCACGGAAGAATGATTCGTCATGTGCTGAGAAAAGCTTGCACGTTTTTACATTTGTGTAAATAGTGACTTTTTGGAAAAATTACCTCTTTGATGATCAAATTAAATGGGAAATTGAAAATTTATATAGCAACATTATGAAATTTTATCTGAAACTGTAACATCTTAGGCCCTTGGTATTTTTGAAAGGTCAACATATTCTTTCCAGAATTTAGATTGAAGTCTTTCCTTGTATGATTTAGAAGACCGTCTAGCTGTTTGAAAAATTCCACAAATTTAGATTAACAAAGCTTTTCCTCGTTTTCATAAAAGAAAATCAAGAACTTTCAAGCTAATTCAAGTTTTTTCAGTTTTTTGCCTGTTAAATCATGCTTACAACTTTTAGCATCCTAACTTCTGATCATCTTTCCAGGCAAAGTTATGACGTCGAAATGGAAGTAGTAGTGGAAGGAACTGGTGTTCGCGCAACCAACGTTTTGGACTTGAAGAATCCATTCTTCAGATATACTGGGATTCAAACTCCGGCACCCCCCGGAAATCATTCTCAAAGTCCTACGGATGCGTACTGGGGAAACGCAGGTGTGGTTCTGAATGGGGGCGTACTACCTAGCTCTGTTGGCTCCTTCGGAGTATCCCAGGGGTCTGGTAACTATACAGGTGTGCTTTTTTTAAGTAAAATCATATATGGTCTAGCAGTTATGCATTGGCCTTCCTCAAAACTACAGCATCGTTGGATAACCTTCTTCCGGCTCACAGCCGTGGAACCGTCATGTTTTCTGGACTCTTGTGTCTCGCTTAAACTTCTATAGCGATATACATGTATACGAAAACCAGTAACTGAGTTTTTCCGATCGAAATGTTGGGTTGGGAAAGTCCAGACCATTGTGAAGAGCAGCTGTCTGTCTTGTGTTTTATAAGTTTTATTTTTATTTTTGCGATTGAGCTACCTTTTTGCACTATGTTTGCAGTTCTTATGAGTTTTTCTATTTTTGTCAAAGTAGGAATAAATGAAAACTTTAAATCTTTCTATATTGCGTTGGTCTATCGAAAACACTTGTGGCTATTAACACATTTTCCTATTTTAGGGGGCGGACTCTTTGCCTATTCGTCCCAAGCAATTGGCAATGTCATGGCAACAGGCACTGGGTCCTATTCAAATCAGTCTCTTGCCTCGATCTCAAATTCAGGAGCGGCTGCAAGCACCCGTTACAATTCGTCAGGTAACTATGGAATGTACCAGGGAGGCTACCATCAGTGATCAATTGACGACCACAGTGATGCATCATTTATCATCAGTGGTTGATCGGCAAAGTTTGTTTTTGTTAGATTTTAACTGAATCGGATTCATCGAATAATCAAGTTTAATTTGTTAATATATCATGTTATGAATGGGACAGCCAGACCTGAAGTGTGCATTTGGATGATTTCTTGTTTCAACAAGCAGCTTTGTAGATGCTGTCACCTTGTTTGTGGAAGGAATCATCTCGTTGCACAAACTTGCAGCCTTGCATTGACTGGAAATGATAGTCCCCAAATCAGCTCAGTTGTTGCACATATTTTGGGATTTATATTCTGAAACAATGTCTATCGATAGCTATTTACGTCATCAGATTGAAGGAGAGACCATCAAGAAATGAGCTGGATCTCTTACCAAACGATCTGTAGATTTTGAAAATTGCTATGCCTATGTGTTTTATTTTCTAAAGAATTTCACTGTCGCGCTTCTTTCCAACCCTCTTGACCTTTATGAGTTCTGTTCTTAGTGGCTACTAACTTTGATCACTTTTGACCTTGCTGACCTATGACCTTGCTGACCTATGGTATCACTGACTGTTGACCTCGCTGACCCATGACCTCATTAACTGTTGACGGCCATTAACGGTCTTTAATGTTGTCTCCACTTGTAGATTTTTAATTTTAATGTCTAGAACAGTTTTGGGATTGTTCTTGTTTCAGTATCAGCACGGACGAAAAGTTAGCTTGATAGAATTAACGTGACGAAAAATTTCCAAAATAGAGTGAGATGTTTGCATTTCAAAATTATTATTGCCATGTTAGGATGTGTTCCTCCATCCACGCTTGGCATAAAGACATATTTTTGCTTAAGTCTGGCTGATCTGACGGAATGATTTGAACTGTACTGTCCTTAGGTTTGGCTTTTGAAGGCTTGATATTGTGAAATTGATCTCGATTTTGAGTTTTTAACTGTATTACATATTTTATGACATTTTCAATTGACTTCGAAGTAGTCCATTTAATAAAATTAGTAGCCAGGAATGAACGTTGTGTGACCCCGTTATTTGTTTTCAAGTCATTTAACAATTTTGCTTTTGATATTTTGCTTTGCCTTTCCCCCCGAAATTCTGTGATCGCCAACTGAAATACCACTGATCTGCAAAGAGACTGGACCGACATTCAAGGGTTGGCAAAGCATTTTATGAAAGGAACTTGTTGGTGAAAAACTGTTGGCTTTCCGTCGTTTTCATTACGTCGTCTGTACTACTTCGATTATTTCTCCTGATAGTGTTTTCATCCTAACCCTTTTTCTTTTGTGATACTCGTATACAAAATATTTTACCCATGAAATGTAATTGTGAAGTATATATCTTGTTGGGGATTCCTTGGAATTTTAATGGGTCTCAAAACTTGTTATAGCAAACAGCAAAGAATCCAAGTTCTTTTAACAGATCAGTGGTACAAATGAGCTTAGCATCATTTCCACCCCTTTTATTATTAGGATGAACTTTTTATTTAATAGAAAAGGTCGTTTGAACTGCAATTTTTAGCCAAACACAATGTTTAAAAACTGCACGAAAAAGATGAAACATTTTTCAGTAAACTGAATTTGTTGCAAAATGATACCACTTTTTATGCAATCCAGCTTATTTCCAGCTTATTTCCAGCTTATTTTTATTCAAATTGCTTGCTAGAAACAGCGCATACATTACTTCCTAGTAAGTTCTATTATAACATCTTGATCATTACGCCATTGACTTTGTTGACACTGTTAAGATCACTTACATATACCGTAATTAAAACTCTCGCATGACGTCGATTCTTCTGTAGCCTGTACTTCCCATGAATCCCTTAGTAAAAGGAGAGACAGGCTGTACTTGGTTCATGTATATTTTCACCGTAAAAAGACATATTTTCATACTGCATGTTAAAATGTGAAAACCGTCAGTTTTGAATGACTTGATACTAGCAATTAAGTATTTCATCATTTCGAAGTGAAAATAGCAAATGAGATAGACAGCTATTCCTAATTATACTTCACGGTGTCACATTTGTTTTTCCTTTTGATTTGTCTCAGGGACAAGACTGTTTTCTCTAAATTTATTTTGAAACTGTTTGCCAGTACCAATAGAAGTAAGGCAACGTGCAAAATGAAACGACACTGAAAATATAACACACGAATCTCTTAATGTTGTCTCCAGCTAAATTATCAAGGTTGTGTCTTTCTGAAGTCTAATCGGCTATGTACTAGAAAGCGGTAAGAAATTTATCAGATGTATTAAAGTGCATGCCATGGCCAATGCAAAATGTAATTTCTATTTACAAAGAGCCATCATCTACATGTGAAAAGGGGAACAAAGTACAATCTTCAGTGGCGACCCAAAATTATAACTAGAACAGTTCTTGTTAATAACCTCCCAATAAACGTCTGCTTCGCTCTGCGTCTAAAGACCTTGTTTCAAGTGTTTTCAATGTCATTTTTTATCAACCTAAGTCACTACGTAATAAACCAACATTGCTTCAAGATGGATTGGGCGAATTCGACTTTTAAAATACTTGGCTAATCAATGAAAAGTGGTATTAAATTCGTCCAATGGCAATATCGGGCTGTTGAGCTTCAAATTTATAAAGTGTATTCTGGTAGTAAATATTTCCCTTGCAATGTAATTGTGCCTCAATTTTACAATGCTTAAAGTTTCTTTCAGGGCGCCGTTACCTATCATATTTTGTGCTTCCTTTTTTCTAAGCTTGTGTATTAATTGTGAATTTTTTTCCAAAATATCGATTCGTTTCCATGATCCCAAAGGATGAAATGCATGGCTAGTGAAGTATGCAAGAGAGGAATGAAAGGTCCAGACCCTCTTTTTTAATTTTATAAGACAAGTGTTATCCAGAAAACGTTCAGAAGACCGTTTTTGAATTCTCTCTTGCTACGGCTCTAAATTTTCAATTTTACCCACTTCTGTATTTTACTAGTCATGTTAAGGACATATCTCCAAACGTTTAATTGGGAATTTTTTTAACTAACCGGATAAAAAAGATGAACTTGTCTGTGTTTGGGTTTTGGAATCTATATCTCGTCACATTGAGGCTGCAAGCTGGCTTCGAACGAGGCAACGCACTGCCCAGCCTAGTTTGAAGCGAAATGCGGCAAATGATTTGAAAATTACAAGCACAAGAAATCCAGCACTGAACGATTTTGTCTCCTAAAGTACAAATTGCTTGGTAAGTGGGCCCAATTTGACAGATTTATTCGTATAGGAACTTGTTGAGAATATGATAAACAAAATTAACGCCAGAGCAAATAAATTTCGTTAAGTAGCCTAGAGTGTTTTCAATGAGATTTAGTTCTCTGCATTTAGATCCCATTAAAGAACAGTTTATCGAAAAACACTATAAAATATTATATGTACAATATAAATTAATCTGAGTATACTGGTGGAAAGTCAAAGCATGATTTACGGTACTTAAAAAGTTTTACGATGTTTCAAGATAAGTTAACAAAGTTAGAACGAAAATCAGTTGGAATGGGTTTGTGGTCTTTGCTTTGAAACACTCAAAGGGGAAGATTTTCCAGTTTATCCTAATATTGTCTTTGTGTTCAATGATATTGTCTTTGTCAAATTTCACATAATCCTTTCAGGTGTTCAGATTCAAAGAAAAAGGCTTTGATTTTTTAATGACAAGTTTTTTACACTAAATTACTTCAATATTTATAAATATCTCTTTGCAACACATTGCATGTACATTTACTTCTATCAATTACTGTCTGCATTCTATAGAGAGGATTCTGACTGGATGATTGCCCCAAAAATATCAGACTGGCTAAAGGGGCAATTTTAGTGTATTTCCAAAGTTTAAGATAAAGTTGTCTTCTAAGTTGTTTATGTCCCTTGATAAACTTATTTATCTGAATTAACAAAGAATGAAAACACACTTGAGAAATTTTGTCATCATTTTATTTCCAGAACTGAGGAATATCTTGGTATGGTTGGTAGATCATCTGATGTAGTTAGATCTTGTGATATTCCAAGATATACCATTAGCCAAAACTGTAGTTAGATATGAATTCACCAAAAACTGTTTCTGGTGAATGAGTATTTAAATACAGTTTTGGCTAATGGTTTCGAACTTTACCAATCAATAGGCCTTAAGATTTTTAGAATATTGTTAATTTCTTGCTTTTGATATTATTTGTATTTCTTTTAAAGACCCACTGTCAACCAACAAAGAAGCCTTTATGATTTACAGGGTATTCTCTTGTTTATCAACATCTCGTCTGCTCACTTTCCAGATTTTCTGTGTGTCAGAAAATAAAAGATGCGCAGTTACACCAGAAAGGTAAACATAACAAACACACAAAGCTGCTGGTGTCAGTTAGGGCTGCCGTTTTGTAGAAAATATGCTGACGAATAGAAAGTTGCTAACTCCGCCACCTCAGATTCAGCTGAGAGCGACAAAATATTACCCAAAGTTTGAAAACAATTTGCATCATGAAGCTATGGGGATATGTGAAACTGCTTTTTGTTATCAGACACTCCATACACTCATGTCCTTGGATACAGCTTAATGCCTATACAAATTGCTTGAATTTGAAATTAATTTGAGGCCAGCACTTCAAGAGTAACAGAACTGCACATACTCAATTTTCTGACACAGAAATTTGTGAAATTGAGCAGACGCAATGTTGATAAACAAGAGAAGACCCTGTAAAATATTGAGGGTTCTTTCTTGGTTGACAGTTGATCTTTAACTATCCTTTTTAATTGTTTCAACATTATATGCTTCCATTTTTCAACAATATATTCTTGCTTATTCTTACTTTTAATTAACACTACTTTTTAGAGATTTGGCAGAGAAATGACAAGTACCAAGGTTTGGACAAATAATTAAAATGCTAATTTATTGGTTTTAATGAATTATGTACATAACCACATCATGATTTCTTGCTATCAAAATCTGAAGAGCAGAAGGTATTTATTTTGCATAAAGAAAAGTTTGATTGAATCTGCCATTGAACCAATTAAAATTAATTGGCCCAGTTTTCTATAAAGACCCCCAAACCAGCTCATGTTATTATTCAAAAATGGATCTGAATATCATTTATTTAATTGACTCTGGTATCATTTCTTTGATATAAACTGTTTGACTAAATTTTTTATATATTTTTCAAAACATTGCAATTTTTGCCCTTTTGAAGGCATTGTCATATTATTGTCATAGGGTGCTGGAGCCCCCCCCCCTTCCCCAGTAATTGTCAAACTGTACTATATTTCCTTTATGATAGTGTACTGTATGGCAAGCAATACAATGAGCAGCCATTCCCCTCGAATATGAACTTCATTTGTACCATTTGTTTTGCTTCACAGAAAAAACCACAGTGGATATCCTCATCATTTGGAGACTTTGCTGCTACACAAGCAATAAAGCCCAAATCAGCCCCAACAAAAAGAAAGAAAAATGGACATTTTGTCCAAGAACCAGGTTTTCTCCAAAGTCAAAAAATTGGTATGATGTGTGCATTTATTTTTTTCAAATGGAAATTGAAAAGATCAAAATTATTTTATGTGAAGGAAGATCCTTTTATTTTTCTTTCTCACAGTAGCACTTTCTGTAAGCCTTTCTGACAATGCAATTCTGATTAGTAATCCCGATAGAATAATATCTCAAAATTTAAAATAATATTATATGATATGTGTTTTGAAAAGGAACAGTTCTAATTTGCTACTCCAATTTTCCATATTTTTCATATGCTTTGTGCAATAATCAGGCCACTGTCAACTATTCTCTATATGAGTGTTGTTTTCGAGTTGTTATGTTTGTTGAGGTATATAGAACAGTTGTGGACACTTGGGTAAGCCAGAGTGGGTGGTCGGCCCCCCAATATTTTGGAGGACAATGGTATTTTGTTCTAAAACAATGATGGGAAAATGTGACATCATCTTATCAAAACAATAGGCTTGCCCCCCCCCCAATTTTTGACCAAATGTTAGCCCCTGATGCAGAATTCTCATAACATAAAATTTTCTTTCTTAATTGAAAACATAACACTAGCCTTTAGCTATGCTTTTTTTGTAGTAATGCTGGCAGCTCTATGCATTATGTTAGTTTACAGCTAAAGCTAAAATCTATAAATATATAACTCTTGTTTATGAAAATTTCTTGCAGTGATGCAAAAAATTAACTGCAAGTGATGCTCACATCCTTGCTTGTTTTTGTCATTCCTGGTCATTCGTATTTAGATTTGATGTAGATTCATTGGCATTGTATCTAAGTCCCAGATTGTTTTAGATTCAAATGCAAATTCTGCACTACTACCATGGTCAGAGAAACACAAGCCATTGAAAGAGGTAAATAAACTCATATTTATTTTCAGGTCTCCTCATAAAATATAAAATTGATTGATTTGAAATTAATTTTGGAATTAACTTTTGCACATTTATTTTGAAATTAATCTTGTTTAACAAGAATTTGATGTGTAGAAAAGCCAATGCAAAATGCAAGAAACATGCAATATGTAGAAGACTGTATTTTCTATTTATGTTACTTGATGCTTTTGGTTGATATTTTGCCTTACTCTCCATTAACTTTATATTCTAAACTATAATAAAAAACACTGCTAACTTCTGGTAAAATTTATTTCTAAAAAGTGTTTCTGCATTTCCAGACTGACCTTTCTGTGCATAAGGCTAAGATTGCTGAAGTCAAAGATTGGTTACTAAGTCATCTTTGCTCACAAAGAGACAAGGTAAGAGGAAATTTATTTCGTAGCAATATATTTTTAATTCATTCATTGATTTATCAACATTGGTAATAGCAATTAATTTGTCATTTTTGTAAAAGAAAGAGATAAAAACATATCTTTTGTATTATGAAGAACATATTAAAAGCAAAATGTTTGGCCAAAAATCAGTGTCCAACCTTATTTTGGCAAATGAGCTTAAATCTTTCAATCAAAGAAACAAAGTACATAATATTTCGTTTTCTGGTGGTACTTTGAATTCATCTTGATTTCATAAACTTTATCTGATGTTTATTTCAACCTATTGGTAGAACCATGGAAGTATCCTTGTTTTGACTGGACCAGCAGGAGCAGGGAAATCAGCAACCATAGATGTTCTTAGTAAAGACTTGAACATTGAGCTTCAAGAGTGGAGCAACCCAGCCACCACCACAAATGAGGGTGAACTGAATTTTTTTAATTGTATTGTATTGTATTGTATTGTATTGTATTGCATTGCATTGCATTGCATTGCATTGCATTGCATTGCATTGTATTGTATTGTATTGTATTGTATTGTATTTGATTATGTTGTATTGGAATGAATTTTATTGCATTGTATTATATGGCATCACATTTGGTTGTGTTGTGCATATTGAATTTTATTGCATTGTATTATATGGCATCACATTTGGTTGTGTTGTGCATATTGAATTTTATTGCATTGTATTATATGGCATCACATTTGGTTGTGTTGTGCATATTGAATTTTATTGCATTGTATTATATGGCATCACATTTGGTTGTGTTGTGCATATTGAATTTTATTGCATTGTATTGTATGGCATCACATTTGGTTCTGTTATGCATAACGTATTCAGGTGGAACCGTTTCTCATTTTATTGAGCTGTAATAGGTTTCAATATAGTATGTTGTACTGTTTTATCAACAGATGACCTTCAAAAATAGTTATTCACATTCATAAAATTGTCTGCCCATAAATATCTACTGGATACTTCCTTGACTTAACGAAAAATGCCAATACTACATCTTCTGCTGTGTGAAGTGCATTTTCACAGCCCGAAGGCTTTTCCCTGCATTACAATTTACCCTTTTGTAGAAATCAAGCCTCAGGTTTCAAATATACCTTGACAAGGTTGCTCTGTTGTAGAAGTTCTGAGAGAAAGCGTGAATTGCTTTCGTTTTGGATACCGTATCATCCTGGTATTTTAAAGTATAGTTCAATATCAGGAAAAAAATGATCTTTGGTCAATACACTTGTTTGCCAAGTCAATAGAAAGCCACTTAACATTGCTCAACTGATTGACATATGTAGCGAATAAATTACATTTCTTTGGGATTTTATATCATCAACGATTGAATTTCTAGAATATACAATGTGGAAAGACTTTAGAATTTTGCAGACGGATTCCCAGCGAAAGCAGTTTCAAGATTTCCTTTTACGAGCAAATAAGTATTGCAGTTTGTCGCTTTCTGGCCAGGAGCCGTCCAATTCTGCACATGGAAGGAAAATTATCGTCGTTGAGGTGGGTTATTGCTTCTAATTATGGGCACCATTTGTTGAGCAGTTGCCAAGTTTCCCCATGTTGTCCTGAGTTCCTTAACTTAATAAAGTTTGTTCTTGTTCTAGGATATACCAAATGCGTTATACAGGAATGTCAAGGATTTCCACGACATTTTGAGGTAATTTTGTGCAGTGCCAGCCATTCATCAAAATTGAGTATTTTGTTTCGCTAGTAAACGAGATATTTTTTTTATGAAAGCTGCTGCTCAAGTCCACTCATTTTCCAAACACTTTGTGAAAACGTTTTACACTATCCCTGAAAGACCAATCATTTTCTGTTCTTAGCATTTATAATTGATCTTGAACACATAGAATGATTTCTTCGCTTAGATATGCAAGACCACATCTTTTTAAGTCCGCATTCTTGTATCTGCTCCGAACTGACAAGAAATGTAATTGAAGCAGCAAATTCAAGTTAGAAACATCGATTATTTCTAAATGTGTTGCCACTATGGAGAGCAGCTAGATTTATTGAATAAGATTAGCGAACGCAATGCACTGAACTTGAATTACTAGTTTAATTGAAGGATTATACAGTTAGGTTTGGGTAAAGCATTGTTCATAAATGGCAGTATAGCCTTCTTTTCATGTTTAGGATAACATTAACTTTAGAAAGAATATACTTCTGTGTTTAAGCCATCGTTTTTGTTGAATTTTTTACTGAAATTGGATTTATTCTCTGCAGGCAGTTTCAAGCCACTAGTCGGAACCCGTTGGTGTTTATAATATCTGACAGTTACGTGGGGGAGAGCAGTTTACATCGTTTGTTTCCGAAGAAAGCTCAATTGGATCTTCGCATTAATTGCATCAAGTAATTTGCTAATATTTTTTATACGTTTTAAGTGCCTCTCTGTCATTTCTATCTGATTAACACCAGGGACAGCAAGAAGGAGGGGTGGAGGGGGGGGGGCAGAGCAATTTTGAAGATGGTAAATACTGAATCTAAAAACAATCTAATGGGTGGTTAAAGAACTTTGGGGAATTATTTTGGCTAAAGCCCAATGCAGCCCCGCATCTGTTCCTCTGTGCGTCCCTTTTTAACATAAAAGGCCTACGAGTATTATCAGTAATTTCTTGTTTTATGTTTTTCATTTCTTTTCTCAAAATACTGCTCTTGCTCCTTTTTTCCGAGCAATGCAAACACTTTAGGCAAACACGATACAAGTTACACGAAAAACTTTATTCCCTGAAGTACTTCTTATCATTTCCAAATCGATGTTAGTGCTGCAAGACTCTTGAAAATGACCGTCAAGAGAGTAGGTACTGCGGGCACCCTTGGGTTAGGAGCACTGCTACCTATTTATGTACTACTAATTAGAAAAATATCTGAATCCCTAATTCCACCCTTTTTTCAAAAATCACTTGACCAACACGTTCTTTCTCATTTGCATTTCGTAGCTTTAATGCTGTAACGAATACCAATTTGGTGAAGTGTTTGACGAAGATAGTCAACACAGAGTCTCAACTGGTAAAATTACTTTGCTTTTGCAATTAGATTATTACAGTTCATTTCATATTTCTGAATGTGTCCCTACAAATTGTATGGAACAATAGTGTCGCTCTAAGAGGTCTTTGGTCATGGGTTGTCTGTGCTGGTTGGTTTTTTTTATCATGATAGTAATTCCTTTAGAAATGTTTGAATTTTTAAATCAAAAAACAATATCTAACGAACTAGCTGTATTTTCCTGGTTGATTGTCAATGATTTCCATATTTCCCACCTATGTGATGACTAACGCAAGAATATAAGGTGTTAAGTAATTAATTATAAACTACAAAGTATTAAGCATGCAACACGCAAGTCGTCTTTCTGTCGCATATAAAACTTTGTACTCAACAGAGACAATAATTTTCCCGTATGGCATCGTGAAAAGAACACCTTGTTAGCAGTATTTTATCATCTTATCCCTTTTCTGTGTCGAAAATGCTTTTCGTTTGTTCCCATTTTATAAATCCTTTTAAAAGCGTTTTCAATTCTGTCTATTACATTTTTCAAATCGAAGCAATGTTTCAGGATCATTATCGTATGTGTTTCCATTGAAACGTCTGAATTTGATATCCCTACTCTTACTAGAATGTAATAAGAGAGACTATTCTTTGCAGAACAATATCAATGTGCCGAGCAAGGATGCTCTGGACCTTTTAATATCAAGCAATGCTGGTGATATCCGCGCGTGCATAAATTCGTTGCAATTCTACTGTACAAACGGTACGTAGTTTTAATGCAGCTAAATGTTTAAGTGCATCTGTATTCTTGAATCAAAAAAACTTTTAACCCTTTTTCCCCGTGAGTCAGTCTAAACTGATTATTTAGTCTCTTTTCTTACTATCAGTGTAAAAATTTTCTGACATACACTGCCCAAGTTTAAAAAAAAAATTTTACACCCAACATTTTTTAAGTGTTTCTAGTGAAACAAAGTAGCATAGGATGTATATTTTCAAAAATCATAGTTTTCAAGCAAAATTTTTAAGTTTTCGCCGAGGAAAAGTAAAAATACAAGGTCATGGTTTTAATACAATGTTCAACGATCTCATAATGAGCACAATCATGTTTTGATGTTGTGTTGTTAAATCAACCTTGATTTCGTGATAGGTTATTAACATGAAATTTTTATTAACTTTTGTGTTATATTGCTAACGTTTCAATCATCATTCGGTTTTTTTAACAGAGTATTACTCAGGAAAACCCCATGCTGGAGACTCTTTAAAAAATAGCACTGCAAAGAAATCCACGTCGAAAGAAAAATCTTCGAAAGCAAAGAAACAAATTGCAGAAAGTGATGGTGGAAGTTTGTTAATGGGGAAAGATACTTCTTTGTTTTTGTTTAAGGCACTGGGAAAGATACTTTACTGTAAACGTATGTTTTGGAAATTGGAAATTTGCTTAACAATGTTCAAAGTTCTTAGCTCGGCGATATCTTTCTGGGTTCTTTCTTTACCTAACGCCTTTATATAGAATTCATAAGTTTAGTTTGAATTATAAACATCTTGTAATAGGGTAGTTATATTGTATCCTTGCTTTATAATGTTTTTTCTTGCTCCTAAAGCAAATGCAGTGGAGTTTAAGCAACATTGAAAGTAAACTGAGATATGTGCAACGGACTCCGATTGAAGCATTTTAACCTTGAACGAAAAGAGCATTAATTACACTAAGATGCATTACTTACTAATGGCTACTTTATTGTCACGTATTATGAAATATCTGCAGTGGAACCTCCATTAACGAACACCTCTCAACAACGCACAGATATTTTGGTCCTAAATGGACGAAACACTCTTAAAAGAACCTCTATACAACGGGCACCTTTATAAAACAGACATTTACACTGATTCGAACGGTGTCAGTTATGTAGAGGCTCCACTTTATTCAGTATTGCTGAATACTAGATATAAACTTGCTTGTATATTCGGCAACTCTTTTAGGTGAAGCGGTTCCAGATTCTGAAAAATCCAAGCAATTACCAAGGCATCTTCAAGTACATACCAGGGACAGGCTCTTGATAAGCCCAGAGGTAGTATTACACAGTAGTTTGGTCAGCTGCATAACTAAACCAATACACATATAACGAATACAGCTGAAACACTTCTTATATCCCAATAGGTCGTCTTTCAGAATACTCTATGTAATTTATGTTACTATTCCCTGTGATCATTAGGCGTGAATTCGAAGTAGCAACTTAGAGCCTTCAAGTACTTCATGCCAAAATGTGTACCGCTACGTTATAGACAGAACAGCTATGAACAATAATTAGGATCGAGCTTTCTGTGTTTTAAACTTTATTCTGTGGACCAGGCTTTGCAGGATTTAAAAAGAGACAACACCATGTTAAATCAACAAAACTTTTATTTTTATCCACAAAATAATACTCCTCTTCTCGTTACCGCGTGTATCAATCTTTTTCTTGATTGTAATTATATTGTTGATGTGCTGCGCTCGAATTCACTGCATGCGCCGCTGCGTAGTGCCATTATGCGCCAATATCACTCTAGAACATTCTGCAAACTCCAGTTAACAGTATTTACCTTTTATTTGTTATGTGGTTTTACATTTTTAGAACTTATTTGAAAGGAGTCCAGAGTTCCTTTAAAATGATAAAACCTTTTTCGAGAAATTTTTTTATGAAGTTTTCATTACTCCTCTCAAAAAAATTTCAGGAAATTACAGAGAAGACCCACACTGACAAAGAAACCTTCAATCTTTATCTGCACCAGAATTATCTCGATTTCTACCAAAACATTGATGCTGTGGTAAGAAAGTTTTCTGTTTCTTTTATCTGTTCTTTTATACATTCTCAAATTGCTGCCTTCTAAAAAAGGTGAGAAATATAGAGAAATTATTAGTTTTATTCTGAGTTAAGAGTTGTAAAATTTGCAAGAGAATACTCTGATATGTTCGGAAATACGTGTCAAAATTGGTCAAGAATTATTATTTAGAAATTAATAGAGAGTGCGGGAAAATAACCGACCCGAGCGAGGCTCGAACTCACGACCCCTGACTTTGTACGTCGTGAGTTCGAGCCTCGCTCGGGTCGGTTATTTTCCCGCACTCTCTATTAATTATCTTCGAAATCCTGTTGTCTGTAAACTATTATTTAGAACTTCTCCCTGTAATTATACAAACACTTATAGATGTGTTCATTTCAATTTTGAGTCTCAAGGATTTCACATGTATCGAGGTAACTAATTTTGTTGACGACTAATTAACTCGATTTTGTATTAAATGCCCTTAAACTTTCTGAAGAGATATTTTTATAAAAAATCAACTTCCATAAGGCTCTTTAATTTACTGATAATTTACATTGTTTATATGAAAACGAACCGATTTACTTGTAAAAAATCTTTTGTTATTTCTTATCAATTATTTCAGGCAAATGCCAGTGATTGGTTTAGCATTGCTGATTACGTCACAACTCAATGGTCGGTAAGTCAAGCAAAATATTTTCTCAGTAGCCTCTGGTTTGGCATTTTGTGTTGCTTGAAATGCTCATAACCTGATAATTTAAAAGTATTTACCCCCCCCCCCCTAGTGGAATTCACCGTTGTTATATGATTTCTCTTAATGATTAGTTTAGTGGACATGCCAAGGGTGTGTATGCTGTCATTGTATGCGCTGTATAGTGTATGTGTGTAATACTCTAACAATAATGGTCAAATATGGTTCATAAGCATTCTTTATACAAGTTGAATTGACTGAGGAATGCTAGGTCATATTTTTTAATATTTCCAATGCAAAACAGCAGAAGGCTGCAAAGTGCATCATGTTGAGAAAGCGTGTCACTCACGTGTTGCAAAATCGGGTGTCTCCGTTATCTAAAAAGGGATTGGTCTCAAAAATCTCTTTTTTCCCACTGGCATCCCAATCCGTGGCCATCACTGCTGCATCTTCATATGGGAGAACATGCAAAACGCAAAAATTTTATTTTGCTGTTACTCAGCCCTTCCCAAGTTATTTTCATTTTCTGTTGTTAATACCAGCAAATTTGATAGGATTAGAAACATTTCTTTTCGATAAAAGTACCTATAACCGATAAAAGTACCGATAAAAGTAGTTTTTTGATAAAAGTACCTCATGGAACAAAGAGGTTTACCCTCACCACCTTGCCTACTTTAAGTAATTTTTTCGTCAAAAACTTTCACATATGATACAGCAAATTTCGTTTTCCTTACAACCTTTAATTTACAGTGTCTTTAATGTTTTAGTAGTTTAAAAAGAAGCTGAAACTGCCGAGTAGCTTTTACCATTACATGTTTTATACATTTTGTGATTTTTATTTCCTAAAGTCGTCCCATCTTTCATCTATTCATTTGTATATTCTTTCATAAGACACGGGACCTAATGAAGAATTACGGATCATCGTTAGCTACACGTGGTGTCATTTTTGCAAATCATCAAAAATCCACATCGTCAACTGGTGCCGTGTCAAGAGGCTGGAAGCCTCTTAATAAACCACAGTGGTTCCATGCATTCAAAGAGGTATACAACTTAAGTATCTTGTCAAGGTCAATTTTTTGCCGAAGTTCTTCTTCCTCCCTTCCTTGTGGTTTGTTTAAGTTTGAAAGGTTTCAAGATGAATTGTCACCCCTACTGCGGGCTTTGTTTACTGTGCACATAGACCGATCCGCCGACGGCTTTTCTATGCCCCAAGGAAAAATAGAATAGAGCCAGTGATGACGTCATTATAACTGTAACTTCTATTGTATTGCTACTCAGGTTGGGGCCTGGAGCAATCTGCCCCCTTGCCCCTCTCGCGTGGCATGCACTTAGATATATTTTCACGCCTGTATTTTAAATTGGTGTTATCTAACATATTTTTGAGTGAAATCAAACCTTGGTATTTGGTAAGTAGCCTTCTGGCTCCGATTTCTGTCTTCAAGAAGACTTTTTTGTGAAAGATATCTGGAATTGTCTTGCAGGTTGTTATATAAAGATCCATTAGCTCCTATGTTACACAACCATTTTTAGCTTCAAAAGTAACAAAGCTGACCGTTTTTATCTATGTTGTTTCCACCTCTCTTCCATACCGCTAGATTATCCCTTTTCTTAAAGATTAAAGATTTAAAGATTTTTTCAATCAACCAAAAATTTTTGTCGTCTTTAGGGAAATTCGAATAAGAGGACTGCAGAGGATCTGTTTTATGGTAGAGTACATATTTATGTATTACCTTTCATCATATGAAATGTTGTCTCATCTTGGTCATACAGAGAGCCGAGTATTGCCTTGCCGACTTTGCCAAGTTGTGACATTCTTTATCTTTTCCAAACAGCATTTGAAGATAATCTGGGATGATTATGACATTAAGAAGAATGACAGTAAGAAAAATGATCGGATCATTCCCAAAGCTTTTTCTATATCACTTTGCAAATATCGTTTGTATTTTTTCTGTTTATTATCAGACATGCGTCATCCGGCTGTTGACTTACATACAGAAGTACTACCATATTTAGCAAAAATTAACGTATCGCTTCGAACACCAAGTAAGTGCACTCGTCTTATCTCCCACGCATTTAATACTTAAAGCTGATTAGTAGTCAATTCACGAGACGTTCCACAGGGCTCCCTATTGGGGCCAAATAAGCTCACTGGGCTAAAGAATTGTTTGTTGATAGGGGTTCGGAGTCACGCCTGGGCTGTGGACTAGTTTTATTAAACTAGAATATTTTTCCACTAGTTACCACTATGCAACGCTCAGTCTTTGTATACTCAAGATTTTCTTCGGGAGAAAGATTGAGAAATTTTGAATCTTATTTCCAGCTCAATAACTGTTTTAGAATTTTATGCTGCGAAATTCATTAAAATCGTTGCTATGGTTGCATTTTTCTCTTTATTTTGCGACCAATGAGGTTCAAGAACCAACAATTAAACAACAACGTGTCAAAGTTTGTCACCTTCAAATTGAAGTCTTCAAAACCTAAAGTTGTCGAAATCTTAAGTATAACTTGCCACAGCTTCTTTATTGAGTCGTTCTTATATTGTCGTTCAAGTGACTCCAGCCCTAGTTGCTCGTAAACCAGTTGCTTGTTAAAAAGATCAGTTTATTTATCTTTCCAAAAAGCAATTTTTTAATTTCAGGTCATATCTCCTTCGTTCAAATGATATCTCGTTTTAATATCAATTCATATCGGCCAAGGTACGTTTCCTAACTTAATCATAATGAGCCGGAATTTATTTTCTTTTTTGGTGAATTCTCTTCATTTCAACCCCTCCTTCATTTTCTGATTCATTGATCAGCAGCCTATTTACAGACGACTGTTTTGATGATAATGATTATATTATTTTATCATTGGCATGTTTCTTGAGCTCTTTTTATAGTGTACGTAAACTTTTTAATTCGTAAGCAGTTTGCCACACGAGTTTAAAGAATAAAAACTGACTGTTGCATTAAGTCCTACAACCTCTCTTTCCTTTGATAATATGTCTGCAATTTTGGACATATAAAAATACAATCCTTCAGCGATGTGTAGAGAATTTCCTCTAGTCATAGCCCCCACCACCCCTTAAAGCCTTCAAGCAGATTCTGATATCCAGTTTGTAGTTCAAAAGTTTGAAGTAAACCAAAGCCTGAATATTAAATGAACCTAGACCAAATCTGCATTTCTGGTATAAAACACATCAAACCTTTCCTCTAATAACACAAAAATTGATCGTTTCATGACTTCCTATTCATAAATCATTTCAGTGCTACCCTCGGCCAAATGGAAAATGCCACCACAGACATCGATGACATGGGCACCGAAGTTGACTCGAAAATGGTTCCAAAACAAGATGACGAGAACTCAGTAACTTTGAGCCAGCTCGGAGTGGAGACACAAGGAAGCTGCGAGGAAAGTGACAGTTTTGAGGAGAATTTAATTGAAGATTTTAGTGACGATGATGACCTTGCCGATTTTCTCCTTATGTAGTCTATGGAAGGGGGTTTAGATGCCTAAATAAAGTGCACGGAATCATCGAGAATTTGCTGGTAGTGGGAGTAAGAATTTGCAAAAGGTATGAGTCTTATATGCAATGTTTTTAACCCTCAACAGAAGAGCGGATCTTAAATTTGCACAACTTATACCTTACGTTGGTTGCAGCAATAAAGACGAAAATGAACATGACCATTCATGATATGTTTAGATTCGTGAAAAAGGCAAATATGCAAGATTAAGAAAAACCAAAACATTGCAAAAAGATAACGATTGCATACACACAACTGATGTACTAAAAATTGCATCTGCATTCACAAGAAAATCCCTAGGATTGCTAATAACATCTAGGTATCTTTCCTTTGTTTTTAGTCGTGGCTTAAGAAAACCCCAGGCTCTGTAATTCGGTGATAAATGCTGATTATTGTATATCTTGACTGCTATATGGATGTATCGCTGTTAGAAACTGCTGGCAATCTCTTTGGGACCCTGACCCTACTTCCCATCTTTCAGCAAAGCCGGTATCGTTGCTTAAACCTCAGGATTTCCAAGTAGGTAAACGTGCAGTTGCATCTTAAATGTTTTGACAAGGGTGAAACCACAGGATATTCCTTGTTGATGGGATACTATCGTTTATCAAGATTGTATCTTGGATCCTTTGTTGCCGAATTGTTTAATGAAAGTGCTTGATTGTCAATAAACTGCATATAAACCCGTGCATCCCTCCTGGATACGCTTCTGTCTCTCGTAAATTTAATTTTATTATTCGATATTTATAGTGAAAGTTCACCCGCTTAGGACTCGGACCAGTATTTGTATAAATTGTTAATATTCATATTAAAGTGAATTTGATACACTATAAATTTGCATTTTCGAATCATGCATCTTCTGGCTAAATGCAACTTTTTTGTTTTTAAGAAATGCAATATGTAATATTTAGCTTTGGCTTTTTGTTAGGTCTTACGATTATGAAAGCAGATTGTGGTTAGGTTTCATAGGATATGGTAGAGTGTTAGAATGGTAGGGACAGGGGAACTTTCCAAGGGCTGCAGCAGGGTATGTTAAAAGGGCTAATTGTAGACGATATGAGTTTTAGATTTGAAGAATTAGGTCAATTGGAGGGAACTATTAGGGAAACAAATTGCAAATGGAGAGATAAATTAATAAGGAAAACACCTGCAAAGAGTTTGAAGGGTCAGTGGGGTGAAGGTTGATAGAGAGAAGGCTGGTAATAAGCTGGTTATGGGGAGAAATAGCAGGGTGGAAGGGAAATTATTCATCAAATGATGTACGAGGCAGCAAGAAACAAGGAATTCTGCTTGAAAACTTTTGTCAATATTGCTTCTGAAAGATTATAGTGGCAATGGCACCAAAAAGAAGACAGAAAGTGATTTTGCTTGACGATTTGATATTATGCCAATTCACGATTATTTTTAACATTAAAACCTCTTGCGAACCATTATCTTGTACGGCTTTGGTTCGTGGGTGGCAAATACGTAGCCATCAAGTTTTGGCAAGTCCTCCTTGTTTGCTGGTAAAAATTCGAATCTCTGATAAAGCTGAGCAAGGACCAAGAAGAGCTCCATTCTAGCAAGTGCCTCTCCAAAACATACTCTTTTTCCGGCTGAAAATGGGAGGAAAGAAGCGTGTGCGCCTGCAACGTAATTGCCTTCTTCATCCAGCCATCGCTCGGGTTGGAAATCTTGTGGGTCAACCCAGTAACGCTCATCGTGGTGTATGGCGTACAAATTGTAGAAAACATGTGTATCCTTGGGGATTTTATAGCCAGCTACAGAAGTATCGCGAGTCGTGCAATGCGGTATAGTAAATGGTGCAACGGAGGCGAACCGCGCAGTTTCATTGATAGCCGCTTCGAAGTAATTAAGTGCGTGGCGGTCCTCCATGCAAGGTTTCCTCGCGCGGCCTATAACTTCATCAAGCTCTTTATGAATTTTTCTCTGCTTTTCAGGCCACAGCACAGAAAAAGCTACAAACCAATTCATTGTTAACTGCTGTCGTTTCTAATCCTGCACTAAAAACATCCGCCATCAAACATTTAATGGTATCTTCACTTAAAATGCCGCGACTTGATTTGTTTTGTGATATCTCCTCCTCCGCGGCCTCAAGCAACCCATCCGTGAAATCACGAGCGTTTCCCCTTTTGAATGTTTCGCGGTGCGCTTGTAGCCATTTCTCTACAATCGGTTCCCTAAGCATGACTGACTCGCGCAATAATCTGAGGTTACGATTAGGCAAATGCCTCAGCCACGTCAGAAAATCGACGTTGTTCGCTCCGGCAAGTCCTTCAAACATAATTTTATTGTAATGCAGTATTTTTTTGAACTCTTCGTCGTCTATATTATACTTTGCTCCAAATACAATTTGGCATACAACATTGATCGATGTAAGAACTGAAAAGAAAAATACAGAGTTTTATTAAGCTAAGGGAGAAAATTTAAGCTTCAAAAAATTTTTAATTAAAAAATTTAAGCTTCATCGAAAATAATTCTCACAGAAATTTATAATGCTTAATTTAAACCAATTTTGCCACTGGTTCTTGACTGCGTGACTAGATTATAATCTAGTGTAATTAACAATGCACAACTTAACTTTGCTACTAACATATTTACTGATTTCGATTCCAGCTATCAAAATTGCTCTTTACTATCTTTCTTACTTGTTAACTTTATACTTGACTGTTTTTTCTGAATAACTTTGTAAAGAAGTAGTCGCAAAACTACAAATCCCATCATTATTGACCGCATAAATATTCAAAGTAGCTATCTACTTTGCAAGCTGGAAACTATATAGATCAACCCTCAGGGGGCCCATATATCTTTAGAGTAGGGGTGCTCAAGCTGGGGTACAAACAATCAACGCAAAAAAGAAATTTCCAACATAAAAATTGACCCAAGAAAATAATGTGGCCTTGCGTAAGAAAGTTTTCAATTTTTCTCTATTTTCTTTAAACTATTTTCTTTTTGCTCAAATTCTAGGCTTAGAAGAGCACTTCTATCCTAAAAATTTGTGAGTATCGACCCCCCCCCCCCCCCCCCCCCCCCCCCCCCCCTTCCCCTGGTGTATCAACCCAGTTGATAACTATTCGTTTCTGCTCGTCGTTTATAACTGTTGCTTCAAATTTTGCTGAATTGTTTTAGTATACCTACAGATATCTTTTTTTGGATCAAATGTCTGCCCTTCCTTGTTCGCCAGTCTTTCAACAAGTTCCTCTGTGTGTGTGATGATTGTCCTTTCAAGCTGCATTCTGTTTTCTCCGTACATCTTCAATGCTTTGTGAGCCACCTTTCGAATGGTTTGCCAATACACTCCGTATGTTGAGAAAGCAATGTCTTTTCCTCGGCCTGTCTCCTCCCCTCTGGCCACTTCCATTCCTGTATAAGACATTGGCCTTCCTGCAAAATCAGTTGCTTTCTGAATCAAACTCTCTTTAGCTGCTTCAATGTTGCTTATGACGACAACAGGCCAACCTCCAAAATACACGCTGAACACATCGCCATATTTCTTTGCAAGGGCCTTCAACGATTTCTGGGGTTCACTGCCAATGAGGTGGATGTTTCCAATAACGGGGAGCGGAATCGGGCCGGGCGGGAAATATTTTGGGCGAATGAAAATTTTCACATAGATGAGAGCACACAGCACCAAGCTTGCGATGAGAATCGTCACAAGATCCATTCTAAAGAAATACCATTCGTTAGTTCAATGTTCTATATTTTCTATTCATTCTTTTTGAAAAGGTAACATCAGCTGCTCGTCTCTTTTTAAAGAGGGGCCGGTTACAAACAGCCCTTCTTCAAAAATGTAACTTGCAGGATTGCTTTAGCCGACTCAGGGTGATATATTTTGGTTCGGCTAGTAAAATAATAGAGAATGTTTTAAATCAAAGATCATAGCAGCTTGCCATGCTAGCTTCGTAATCTACATGAATAACCGCCTATAAGAATATACAAATTAGTAGCAATAATTGTTTTTTTCTTAATAACAGTTCAAATTTATTATACATGATGCATTTTGAGTTTTATTTTAACAATTCATTTTTCTGTCAACTTTTTGGTTTTTGATAAAAAAGTATGTACTGCTAAACCCCAAATAAAAGAACCTGTTGGCTAAACGAAATTGTTTGGCTAAACAAGTTCCTATATTTTGAAATAATAAAAAGGCTTAAACCCCTAGGTTCTTGCACGCGGGTTTTAACTGTAGCACAAACAGCAAAGAAATAAGAGTTGAAGATTCTTATTCCAATTTTTTTAACCGGCTGGTTGACACCGTTCAGGTTATGGCAGCAACTTATTAGTGCAGGCGACCGACATTTTGTGTTAGAAATTGCTAGAAGGTACAATCCATTGCATTTGTGCGCTTGCTCTTACTCTTGGTACCAGATTCTCGCGCATGTTCGTGCAAAATATTAAAGGTTCTTTAGCAAAACTACATCCTTTATCTGTACTGGATTCTTGATATGTTCAAACATGTGTCTTATTTGATAAGGTATATTATGGTAATTCGGTAAATCTTGATGACTAAACAACGTATTCGCTCATCGAATATTCCTTTGCACATGGGCAACCTCAAGAAGGTCGTAAGGATCCCAGCTAGAAATTGGGGGCGACATCTGATTGAGACAGTGTCTAAGACTGACGTACAAAACATAATATGTTTCTTTAATAATCCTTATAAGGAGAATACTATCGAATTTTAACTGAAAAACAACTTTTGAACAGAGCTAAACACTTACCTTAACTGCTCATTGCCTGCCTGACACAATCAACGACTGTTTACTACCAGCAGAATCGAAACATTGTTACCCACAGAGTTTTGGCTTTGTTTCCAAAATGAAGATTGTGGGTTTTCTGCTTGATATGCAGTTACCAAATGATATGCAGATTCGTTGAATCGAGCAAGAACAAATGGTTTTTTATTGTTCACTTCACTGATTGATAACATAAAGGTCGTCGATAACATAGAGTGGTCCTAGACAACATCAAAAGAGAGCCAGGCCACACATTTCTCCAATTCCTTAAGTATCAAAACGCTAAAAGGTTAGCCTTAATTCATTCCTTTGTTACATTCAGCAGGTTAAAACTGATCTAAATGCTAAGAAGAAAGTAAAATGCGAAGGAAGGATAAAGTAGAATTCTTTACGTGGTTTTATGAATGTGTGAAATTCATGAAGCCGTTCCTTTTTCTCTCTTAAGTTTAGCTGCTCCCGGGTCGATATACTTCTATGCTACAATTGGGATCGTCCAAGTAGTATTGTGGAGTAGAAAATTACTTTTTTATATGTTAGTGTAGATTTTTGCACTCAAATCTGTGCTGTCGATTCAAGCCCCAGTCAAACGAATAGAAATTTAGTTTAACATGCACTAAGGTTTATGGTGTGTAAAAAGCAATTCAAAAATGGGGGCAAATGTGAACAAAAAATGCTACAATTCATCACTTCCACTGAAAAGGGGGATATGTGTCCTCTTGTGTCCCCTATGTCTATGCTGGTATAAGAATTACTGTTTTACGACAAGCCATATAATTGAAAGGGTTATCTTCTTCCCTCTACCGCAAAGAGATATCGTTAGTCAAGCCGTTTTTAGTTATTTGTGGTTCCAGGCTGCTTTGTATGACTTCTATTGCCATTTTTATGATAGTGATAGAAGTTTGCGAAATTGCAAACCTGGAATAATTGGTAAGTGTAAATGAAGCTTTTTAAGTTATCATTAGATGCATTTCATTTCGATGAGAAAAATTAATGTCTTGTGTTTGTTCAAGAGGATGAGCTGAAAACTCGCTGCCATATGTGCGTGGCATTATTTATCCAAAGCGTAATCTCTGAAAACTTCAACAACATCATTTTAAAAGAGAGAAAATTTCTACTAAAATTTGCAAAAATTACCGTTTGATTCAAAGATTTTCAAAAATTTTCTTCTATTAACTTCGTTTGAGAGAGTTTGATTCAAAAATTTTCTTCAATTAACTTCTTTTATCAGCAAAAGTTTCACTAAACAGTTGAAATTTTATCGTTGAATTGTCTAAAATTACCAAGCTCTAATTGGATCCCATGTGCTACTATCCTTGGAACTGGAGATCAGAGTTTTGTCGAGCAATGCATGATATCTCAGGTATCCTTGGAAACAATTGCGACAGTTTCTACGTCAAATTAATCAAACCTTTAAAACAACGAAAAAACCGTTAGAAATTTGTTGTGATTTTCTCAACTCATTTGCTGCACGCAAATTTTGCTTACAAGAAAATCTTGCAAATTATCTCAATAACGAGAGCCGTTTTGCTGATTTTTGTTCTAAAGAAATAATTAAAGATTTCTTTTGTTTCGCAATGGAGAAAATGGAGATAGCCGTTGTTAATTTGTCGAGTGCAGAGATCGAAAGAACGGTGAGTTCCTGAAAACTTTTCATTTCTAAATGAAACAATTTATTAATTGTTATTAATTGGGTGATATCTAAAAAGAAATTCATTATTTTATCAAGCAATAAATTATTTTTGCTAACGCAATTGGTATATATTTATGAATAAATCTTTGAGTCAGGCTCGCAAATTACCTTTTGTTTTCGCAATAACTTATTTTGCGAAAAGTTTGAAACAAGGTTTCTTCCTCGAATTAGAAACAGAGTAAAACTTATAAAACTCATCACCATTACAGATGAAAAGTGATAATATTTGTTTCCCTCTCTTTGGATAATAATAGAAATAAGAATCAAAGAAAATTTTATATTTTTCAACGTATACAGCACAAAGAAGGCCTAAAGTTCCCGGGATCTTTTTTTAACTGTTTTGAAAAACTTCAAAACCTTAGAAAAATCCCTGCGAAAGCAAAAGCCTAAAAATATGGAAATATTAAGGGAGGATCAATCGAAACGTGATCATATTTTAATTAGGGCCACGGCTACTCTTTTTCTTTAGTTGCAGTCCATTTACTTTTACAATCCTTTGTTCGCGCTGTGAAAAGCCTCTTTATTTCTAGTTTTATGAAACAGTGATGCCCTCGGTAATTCTTTGCCTGAGAGTCTCAAATTAATTAGAATTTATAAAGTATGTTAATTAGAATATTATAGAATTGGTTAATTAGAACTTCAGAGTTGCTCCTAAATCTCACCAATATGTCAAGGCTACTTGCAAAACCGAATTAAGAGAAATGTTTTATTCATCATATTCTAAAATACCGCTGTTTAAAACAACGATGAATATATTTAAGAAACAAGACGTTCAAAGAACTATTCTTTTGCCTATTTTAAATAGGGGTTAGAGATATGAAACTTCGGCGTTCAAATAACTTCCATTTGAGATGACATCCTTCAATTTGTATCTGACATGTTTTGAGGAATTTCGTTCAGATTTTATTAAAAAATAGAAAAGTACACAAGATTCTGTTCTGTTCGAGTAATTAAATTAATTTTTAAAACCTTCTTTGTAAGCAATAAAAGAAAAGACGATTTTTTGGTTTCATTCGAGCAGTTTTAAGTAAAAGGGCATCGCAGATAAGCTGCCATTTTGTAGTCAAGCACATATCACCTAGCAACATTGTAACATGTATCCAGGGGCTAGCCTCGTCAAAGTCTAGGTTAAAATCTAATCGAGACTAAAGAATAGTTCTCAGTAACGCTTTAAATTGAAGGCTTGTAAGGATTTCTCTTAAGATTTCATCAGAATTTTTAGCTTAATGTAAATGATATTCAAAATCATCGGACACAAGTTGTTTAAGGAATGGCTTTAATTTTCTTTCTTAACAAAAAATCCAAATTAGACAATGCAAAGAGTTTCTACAGGATCGCACTTTTAAAAAAAGTACAGCGATTTTTTTCCATTTTTGGACGTCGTTTTTTCTTATTGATGAAGTTTCATTTTTCAAGTTATCTTTTTTCCTGTAGATGACATTAATCTGTTGCTAAAAAGACCCTTTTATTTGCGAATACAAATTTTACATTGGACAATATTTAGCACAGAGTGGATCAATGTCAAATGAGGATAAAAATTTTCAGTATAAAATGATTTATTCCTTCAGAATTCTCTTGATCCTGAGCTGCAAAGACAAAGGCTACTCAAAACATTCGGAAATTTGGCGAAAAATGCAGGTATGAAAGCATTTTCCTATGTCTTTCATTTGAATTCTGTATTAAAATTTACTTTCAAGGCAATTTAATTTCATCTGTAATAGTCAATAAGCTATTTTTAAATCAATTCAATCTATTTAGCTATTTAGAAATTCAATCTGTCATTTTTATATCAATTTCCCTTCAAAGTGATAAGATTTATAAATGTCTAGATGCGATGAACTGAACATTGCTTTTCATTTCCCGACACTCTTCTAGCAAGAAAGTGAATAAAGAAGATCTTTTCTATAAAGATATTCAAGTGCATTGTCGACTTATTTATCCATCGACAACAGACTTTAAACCTTGACATAATGATATCTTCCTAGATCTTCTGCTGAGGTTCGCCAAAACACTTACCGATATAAGGGACGGCAACAGACAGATCATTCTGAAATTGTTAGATTCCTGGTACAGGCGATCTGCGTTTACAAACGTAAGTTGTTGTCGTTAGAAATGATGCGTCGTACGAATTTTGTATACTTACTTGTAAAGGTGTTTTTAAATGTAAACAATTACCACTTATTGATCCTGTATAAAGAGCTGAAGATATCCAAGACTTCTTTACTTCACTATGGGCTGAAAAGCCAAAGCCGGCAATCTAGAAGTTTTTCATCAGCAATTGGTCCTTTATTGGTACATGGTACAAAATTGGATATGAAGAAACCTATTGTTTTATTTTGGAATTTCAATAACGAAATTACAAACATTAGTGCCTTCGTAATTGTCTGCTTTTGGCAATACCATTTCGCTGCCTTTCTGGTTGAATACTTCAAGAATTATTATTTTGGTTAGAAAATGTCGACTGCTAGTCCGTAACAATCTGTATACTTTTGTCAATGATACATAAACTTGGCAGCAGCCGTCTTAATTTCATATATAATATATCGTAGTTTTTTTTTTTTCAATTCATCAATACTTGCTTTTAGTTGAAAACTCTTGCCAATGACTGCGTGAAAGATCTCATCAATGCCAATGCCTTGGTAAGAAACGAAAAAGTGATAACTATTCTCGAAACCCTCTCTTTCATATATATCATATATTGTGAAAATGCACTATAAGGTATTTTCATGATGTCATCACTATCCTAAGCAAATTCCGATTGAATCTGAAACAGAAAACGATGCTAGGATAATTCAAGCACATTTTTGAAAAATATTTCTTTTCAAAGAATTCTGATGTATTCACATAACTCATAGAGACGAAATGCTTCTGATGAATCCGTTATAAAAACATATACACATTGTTGAAGAATTGAAAAAAGTGTCTGTCCTTGTTTTCTTTAGGTTGATGATGATAATGCATGCACCATGCTAGAAAATATTGGTCAAATGCTTAAAGAGACGGTAAAATCGTTGGACCTTTTGCTGTATACCATTGAAAATCTAGCAAAGGTTAGTTGACATGGAGTTCTTTGCCTGTAGTAAACCTTTCCATCGGTTAAAAATCGCTTCATTATCAATGATGCCGAAATGTATTCGACGTCGTCACTTTTAAACTGTATTGCCTGTATAAATATCCTGAAAATTCTCACCAACAGAATCCGACGTGCTACACGCCTCTTAGCAACGAGATCAAACTTCTTCTGGACCTCTCAACTATTGATGCAGAAGAGAACATAAGATCTTTCGAACGAATGAAGAAAGAGCTTTGTGATCATCTGCAAATCTGCAGTTTGAGTGGAGACGAAGAATTTGATGTTGCAATGCAGTATGGTGAGGGACTTTTCAAGATTTGTGCTTTCAAGTTTGATCGTCTTTTAGCTGTGGACCAACCCGTCGACCCGTCTTTTCAAGCTCCATATCTGGAGACTGGAATCAAGGGGGTCAAACGTAAAAGAGAAGACGAGGTTGCCACAAATGTTTTGACAAAATCTTTTCACAGGCAGTGACAACACAACAGGTAATGTTGAGGAGAGTTCCAATAAAAAATTGAAACAAGATAATTTAGAAGAATTTGAGACTTTTGCAATTGAAAATAACCATACAGGCAATAATTTAGATCGGAATAATTACGTAAGAGCTTGGCTGGAAAACAAATCAAACTTATTTTTCGGACTCGAAACGCCAAAATTCCAAACAGTTTTCGAAAAATCCAAAGTTTCAGCTTTAATAACTCAAAACAGCGCAGAAAAATGCACCGAGAAAGCAATAGAATTGGGCAAAATCTTTGAGCCGAGAGTTTTTGAAACTAGCTCTTTTAAAACAGCAGAAAATCTTAAAGCATTAAGTACAGAACAAAAACACGACGTTATAGTTGCTAAGGAAAAGCAAGTCAGAAACGAGGCTGGTCCTAAAAGCTGCGAACTTCAAAATGTTGGTATCTTAAAAAATAATTCCACATATCGAGTTTCAAAGAAATGCCTCACCAAAGGCGGTTCAGTTGAGCAAAGCAAAAAAGAATCTTGCAACTATAAAGCCCCTTCGTCAAGTTTGTATGAAGCAAATGCCTCACAAAAATATCAAAAATCTCCACTAAATTCTGAACTTTGTGGCTCTATGCAAGGCCAGGCAAATAAGAATATTTCAAATAATTCTCAACCGTTTGCAGCTTCACCAAAAGCTGGAATGCAAAAAATTTCAAAAGCCAGGGCAATTCAAAAATGTCAAGATATTGTCAGTGTGAAACATTTTTCAGGAAAAATTTACAAACCAAGTTCCCCCAAAGCAAACTGTACTTCTACAACCAAATTTAGTGTACAAAAACAAGTTCGTTTCAGGGAAGCTGCCACTGTTAGCAGACCAGAGTCTTTGAAAATGATATTTTTTAAAACAGAGAGTGGCAACTGGGCAATAAAAAATAAACCCGTTAAGGATGAAATTAAGAAAGTAGGAAATGTTGAAAATGCAGAAAAAGAAACAGAAATAGTAATTGTGAAAAATGATAGTGTATTGAGGGATGAAGAGGCAGAAAAAAGAGCCAAAAATCGTTTGAAAGTTTTACAAAGAGTAAAAGGAGCTTTAGTAAGGGATAGGTCAAAAATGAAAGAGAAAAGAGTTTCTTCGAAAAACAGCAATTTTCATAGAATAAGAAAACAGGTCTCAAACCTCTTCGAAATGAAAGCACGCTTGATAAGTAGGAATTCAAAATCTTGAGCCCAGGTACTCGAGATTTAGGGACCAAGTTTCATTGTTGACTGTATATGTCTCGTTAGTGTGAAGAGAATCAACTAGGTCATCAACACCTTCCGTTTAGTAAATACTGTATAGGATAATGTTGAAATAGACAGGGAATATATTTAATAATGAACAAGCATTTAGAATAATGGACTGAAATAAGTTATAAAATTTTTATTCTAGGTATATAGTAAAGAAATCAGCTGTAGAAATTTTTTTTGAATGGGTTGTGTTTTTTAACTATTAGATAGAAACTTTTGAATGCTAAATTATTTATGTGATGTAAAGTAAGTCGTTCGCTGTAAATAACGATAAATCTTTATGTAAAGAGCATCAAGCCGTTGCTTCATCGTAGGCTTAATAGCATGCATAGCAACGTTTTATATTCTATGTCTCCCAGCAATTCAAATTTAGTAGCAAATGCAGCTAATTGTAATTTATTGTAGCTTAACCTAATTGTCATTTAACTGTTTAAATTCGTAATGTATTGTAAAGAAGGTTTTTTATAAATCATAGATCTTTATTCAAATTCCTTTTTACTTCTCAAGTTTTCTGATGTTACTCAAGCTTATATTTGCAAGTAGACATCGTTATACAATGGATATAGAATACATGGATGAAACATCTAATGATATTTTTAATGGATATTTACATGTCTAACACCGATGAACAAAAATGTAATGCGAAGAGCTACCTCCCAGTATCGAATCGAAGGAAGGGTAGCATTTTTGAAAGGTACTATTATTTCAGAACAATAAGAACAGAAGAGACTGTTAATTGAAGACAGAGAATATTCATTGTTTTAATGTGTCCCCAAGCAATTGTAGCTACGTTTTCTCTAGATAAATTCATGATTATCCTTAGGTTATCAAGAAGGAACAAAATCCTAAATATTGCGTGCTTGAAAATTGGGTGTGTTCATTAGTAGGGATACACAGTGTGATATTTTTGGCGCACCGGTTTATGTTTGCTGAAGCCTTTGGAGCTGCGAAGGGTTAATATTTAGGAAGACATGATACGAGTCTTGCCCGGATATTCTTGCTTCATCGAGGTTGAATTTCCCGACTGGGCCTGAAATTTGATAAATTTTGTCATTGTACGTTGATTTCACTGTTATGCCAATAAACCTACCTACAATATAAAAAGTACCATTTAAGAATTTGCGGCTTCAATTCGAATACGGCGTCATTAATGCTTTCCATTCCGAAATATTTTCTTGCTCTTCAGACAAGCTTTAATTATTACAATGTTATTTATCCTAACTTAGCAGATAAAAGATAAGCTTATGTCTTATGCATGCTTACAAGTAAGTTCTAAGTACTTCAAAACAACTAGCCAAAATTAGCATAAGGAAATGGACGTTAAAAATCTTTTAATCCTTAAACACAAGATTATTACAGGAAACTGATACCACCTACATTGCGTGTTAGAAATCGCTAGAAGGTACAATCTATCGCATTAGTGTACTTGCTCTAGCCCTGGGAACCAGATACAAAAATAATAGAAATATTGATAATAATATGTATAATGATAAATAATTTGTTTAAAGTTGGCGTAATAAATGAACGTCTAATAGCTATAAAGAAGCTAATTAAGGCCAACTATCTATGGAGAATTAGTATAAAATAAATATATTGTACAATGTTATAAAAATGTTTAAGGTATAATATTCTATATAAAACCAAACCCAGCAATAAATATTTTACATACTCTACTGTCACATTCTACAGAGTGTGCATTATCTCATGTCATTAATGTTTCGTAGTCGGCATGACTTTCTTTAAAAACAATTCTGAGTGCCCTTTCGTAAATTTTGTTCACCTTAGCATTCAGACATCTGTCTTGGAACATCCAAATTAGAGGGCAGTACCTAAACTGGGCTTTTTCGGGACTGTTCATTAGAAGACGTATTTTATCAGAACCCATAAATGGCAATACCCTAGGAAGGGCATGCAGTTTTTGGCTGGCTCTTTTGCATAAATTTGACGCGTGACATTTGAAATTGAGATTTTTATCTATTATCACCCCTAGCAATTTTTCTTTACAGCTTTCTTCACCAATGGCCTCTCCTACTTTAATCTTAATATCATGTTGGTTAGACCCAAAAATTAGAAAATGAAATTTCCATTCAATTTCATAAAGTTCTCTGGAAACCACTTTTATAAAACAAGAGCGTCAGCAAAGTTACATACTACAGTGTCAGTCACCATGAAAAAAATCATCAAAGTATTAATTAAGTAAAAGAGGCCCGAGGACTGATACTTGTGGTACACCTACAAAGGTTTCTCGCCAAGTGCTGAATGAACCATTTAATTTGACCCTTTGTTGTCTACCGGACAGATAATTTTAAATCAGCAGTTGAGCATCTTTACACAAGCCATAGGCATTTGATTTCGCGATTTATGGCTTATGGTCTATGCGATCAAACACCCTTGAGAGATCCATTAGCAAAGTACCAGCCAACCCTTTTTATCTAGAAAATTCTTGCAAATATCCATTCATCTCAACAGCGCATGCTGTGTGTTAAAACCTTGGTGAAAATCACATAAGTAGGAAACTAAGAACCTATCCATGAAGTCAAATGTAAATCTCCAATAATGACAAAATTTTCGTATCGAAGAGTTAGTTAAGGTAAAAAATGACATTTTAGTAAATACCGATGAATAAACGACACAGTCTTGTAGATTGCGGTTAAAACATAATATATTTCTTTAATAATCCTTTAGAGAAGAATAATTCCAAATTTTAACTGAAAAACAGCTTTTGAACGAAGCTCAACATTTTCCTTAACTGATCATTGCCAGTCTAACACAATCAACGACTGTTTAAGACCAGCAGAATCGAAACATATAATTTACCCACAGAGTTTCGACTCTTTTCCAAAATAAATATTCAAGCCCCAGTCAGACGAATAGAAACTTTGATTTAACATGCATTAAGGTTTATGATATACATACATAGATATAAAAGCAATTCAAAAGGGGGGGGGGGGGGGCACAGGTACACAAAAAATGGACACTCTTCTAAGCTGCAATTCATCACTTTCACTGATAAAGGGGACATGTGCCTTCTATGTCCCCTGTACCCCTACAGCCCCCCCCCCTACGTCTATGATGATATAAGAGTTAGTGTTTTACGTTATGTTTTACGTTACGGGTTATCTTCTTCCCTCTACCACCTATAAAGCCTATCGTTAATAAAGCCGTTTTCAGGCTGCTTTGTATGACTTCTATACTTCTATTGCCATTTTTATTATAGTGATCAAAGTTTGCAAAATTTTGCAAACCTGGATTAATTGGTACTTGTAAATGAAGCCTTTTAAGTTCTCTTTAAATGCATTTCATTTCGATGAGAAAAATGAATGTCTTGTGTTTGTTCTAGAGGATAGGCTGAAAACTCGCTGCCATATGTTCGTGGCATTATTTATCAAAGCGTAATCTCTTTTTCAACAACAACATTTTTAGAGAGTGGAGAATTCTCTTCACAAAAACTTTGAAACATTACCAGTATATTGTACGATTTATAAGGCTTATTGTTTATCCATAAAATCCATTTTTTTAAAAAAAAACCTTGAATTCTTTAATGAAATTCTTTTTATCAGCAAAGGCTTCACTGAACAGATAGAATTTTATAGTCGAATTGTCTAAAATTACCAAGCCCTAATTTGATCCCATGTGCTACTATCCTTGGAACGGGAGATCAGAGTTTTGTCGAGCAATGCGTGATATCTCAGGTATCCTTGGAAACAATTGCGACAGTTTCTACGTCAAATTAATCAAACCTTTAAAACAACGAAAAAACCGTTAGAAATTTGTTGTGATTTTCTCAACTCATTTGCTGCACGCAAATTTTGCTTACAAGAAAATCTTGCAAATTATCTCAATAACGAGAGCCGTTTTGCTGATTTTTATTCCAAAGAAATAATAGAAGATTTCTTCTGTTTCACAATGGAGAAAATGGAGATAGCCGTTGTTAATTTGTCGAGTGCAGAGATCGAAAGAACGGTGAGTTCCTGAAACTTTTCATTTCTAAATGAAACAATTTAGTTATTGATTGGGTAAGATCTAAAATAAAACTCATTATTTCATCAAGCAATGAATTATTTTTGCTAACGCAATTGGTATATATTTATGAATAAATCTTTGAGTCAGGCTCGCAAAATACCTTTTGTTTTCGCAACAATCTATTTTGCAAAAAGTTTTGAAACAAGGTTTCTTCCTCGAATTAGAAACAGTGTAAAACTTATAAAACTCATCACCATTAACGATGAAAAGTGATAACATTTGTTTCCCTCTCTTTGGGTTGTGAAAGACATAAGAATCAAAGTAAACTTTATATTTTTCAACATAAACGGCCCAAAAATGCCCAAATTTCTCGGGATCTTTTTTAACTGTTTTGAGAAACTTCAAAACCTTAGCAAAATCCCTGCCAATACCAAAGGCTGAAAATATGAAATTATCAAGTGAGGATCGATTGAAACGCAGTCATATTTTAATCAGGGCCACGGCTACTCCTTTTCTTTAGTTGCCGTCCATTTACTTTTACAATCCTTTGTTCGCGCAGTGAAAAGCCCCTTTATTTCTAGTTTTATTAAACAGTGATGCCCTCGGTAATTTTTTGCCTGAGACCTTAATATTAATTAGAACTTATAAAGTATTTTAATTAGAATATTATAGAATTGGTTAATTAAAAACTTCATGGTTGCTTCTAAATGTCACAAATATGTCAAGGTTACTTGCAAAACCGAATTAAGAGAAAAGTCCTAAATGTCCACTGATTTAAACAATAATAAATATATTAAAGAAACAAGACGTTCAGAGAGCTATTCTTTTGCCTATTTTAGATAGGGGTTTGAGATATAAAACTTCGGCGTTCAAATAATTGCCATTTGAGATGACATCTTTCAATTTGTATCTGAAATGTTTTGAGGAAATACGTTACAGATTTTATTAAAAGATAGAAAAGTACAGAAGCTTCTGATTTGTTTGATTAATCAAATTAATTATTAAAACCTTCTTTGTAAGCAATAAAAGAAAAGACGATTTTTTGGTTTGATTCAAGCAGTCTTAAGTAAAAGGGCATCGC